AAAAAAAAAAAACCAAAAAAAAAAAAAAAAAAAAAACCACAAAACCCGGTTGATGTAACTGTATTGCTGTAGGGGACCCGGGATCTGGGGATCTGGGGCTTGCTGGGCTAATTGTAAGTTCAGTTGGAGACCTTGTCTCCTCAGCTCCAGATACACATGTATACCACACACATTCTTGTACCCCTCCCTCACCAAAGAATAAGAAAGGAAATAGAAGATTTATAACAATTTAGTTTCCTCTTAAAACTGTAACACAACTGAGACTAAAATGAATGTCTAAGTGATTTATTTTTTGTCATTTCTCAATTTCCTAATTAAAAATTATATTTTTGTTCATTTGGGGGATGGATGGATGGATGGATGGATGGATGGATGGATGGATGGATGAATTGGGGCCTATAATTTAGGATCTTCTGCCTTGGTCTCTGGAGTGGTAGTGAAAGACCCCTCAGGATCCCAAGGAGCCCCAAGACTCAGAAACCAGACCAAGAGCTGCAAAAGCAGGAGGGCTTATTGAACGAATGCGCATTCGGGTGTCAGCAATATCGGGGAAGCTGCACACACCAGCAAGGGTTACAGGTTCCTTATATAGGAAAAAACGCAGATCAGCATACAGGCAAGGGGTACAAAGTGATTACAAAGTATGACCTCATGTTAGAGTGGTCACCCAGGTGTGACCTGCTTTTCTACAAAGGAAAAAACACAGAATGTACCCTGGAAAGTCCTTGATTGTCTGTCGGCCAGCCAGGTGTGACCCAAAGAGGGTTGTCTTGGCGATTGCCCCCGTCTAAACCATAGGATGTGCCCGGGGTTGGGGCCAACTTCCTTGTAATGGGCCAAGGCCTGTGGGAAACTTTTTCTCTCTGTGAACTAAAATCTTTTAAAACTTTTTCTCTCAGCAAACTAAAATCTTTCAGTAGGTATGCATTACCATGCCCATCCCCAGCTGTCCTTTTGCCTATGTGTATGTCCCCATGATACAGCACTGTTTTGTTGAAAAGACTTGACAGAACTCCTTTAAGCCTTTTCAGAACTGTGCTTGGCCGATACATATTGATCTCTGGGTTTTCTATGTCCTCCATTAATCCCATCTGTCAGTACCACAGTCAGTACCCTCAGTCAGTACCACACAGTTGCTCTGGTAGGCCTTAAAATAAGGCTAACGTAGTAGCCACTAACTAGTGGCTAGTTATTTTAGCTAACTAGCTCTTTACCTCCCTGCATATTATAAAGTATTGTATAGGATTTTGTTTGTTTTGTTTTGTTTCTTTCCAGACAGGATTTCTCTGTGTAGCCCTGGCTGTCCTAGAACTCGCTTTGTAGACCAGGCTGGCCTTGAACTCACAGAGATCTGCCTGTCTTTGCTTCCCATGTACTGGGACTAAGGGTGTGTCCCACCGCAACTGGCTAAGTAATGCATTTTGTGTTCTGGTATTCACATATTCATTGATACTATGTAGAACTATGATTTTTAAATATATTTATGTTATGTCTTACAACCTTTACATATTACAAATTCTTTTGGTTTTCCCTTTAATTAGTTTTCTGTTTTTTGTTTTGTTTTGTTTTTTTCTTTTTCAAGACAGGGTTTCTCTGTGTAGCTTTGGAGCCTATTCTGGCACTTGCTCTGGAGACCAGGCTGGCCTTGAACTCACAGAGATCTACCTGCCTCTGCCTCCCGAGTGCTGGGATTAAAGGCGTGCGCCACCAACGCCTGGCTTTAATTAGTTTTCTTAGGATTTGCTATAGACTGACAAGTCTCATTTTGTTTCTTTTTCCCTTTTCTGTGTCTCTGAATCCTTTACTTAAATTTGATTTGTAATTTTCCCCCAGGACATGTGTAGTCTTCCAGATTACGTGACGTTTAAGAGTTTCCCTGGGATCCCACTGCAGCACATCTTCATTGCAGCAGGAGACGACTTGCTTGATCTCATCCAAGGCTTGTTCTTATTTAATCCGTGTACTAGAATTACAGCTTCACAGGTACTTACATTAGGAAACCTATGCATCATCTTCTTGGCAGCACTAATAAAACAAAATTCAAATGTCTAAAATTTTCTATTATCCATTAAATACCAGGAATATGCATATCTGAAGGATACATATTTGTGTCCTTCCCCAAAGCTATAAACATTGTCCAGACTGGTATTAAATTTTATATAAGAGATTTATACTTGTTTAGGGATTTTGTTTTTTTGGGGTTTTTTTTTTTTGTTTTTTTGGTTTTTGTGTGTGTGTGTGTTGTGTGTGTTTTCACTCAAACTGCTATATTTCAAATGAGCTTTTTGTGTGTTTGTTTTTGTTTTATTGAGACATGGTTTCTCTGTTTATCCCTGGCTGTCCTAAAATTAGCTCTGTAGACAAGGCTGGCCTTGAACTCACAGAGACCTGCCTGCCTCTGCCTCTATTGGGATTTAAAGGTGTGTGCCACTACTGCCCATTTTGATTTTGGGGTGTGGGGAGGAAGTATGAAGATGAGTGGGTGCAGAGTAACTGAAAGGAGTTGGGAGGAGAAAGGACTGTGGTTGTTGGATGGCACTAGTATATAATAGTTAAAAGTTAATATTAAAGTTAATAGTAAACTTTCACCCATTTGCAGTAGAATGTAGTATTTGTAGTTCATTGGTTCCAGTGCAGTCTGTGCCATTGTAGAAATATTAGAAGGGAGTGAGCCCCCCTCCTCCAGTAAAAGCATCAGCCAGTTGTAGGATGTTGAATATTGATTTGTAGTAATTCTAACCACCACATGCTTGATTCTGATTCTTTGTTTGGAGACATGGGGTATTTACATTCTATTTTCAATGCTGTCAACAATTTAGGGTAGGTTTTCCTACATACAGTACAAACATTGAAGCGTTGCTTTTGAGCTGGGCATGGTGTGGTGCATGCCTGTCCTCCCAACACTCAGAACAAGCAGGAGAGGAGGGCTACAAGTGAGAGGCCAGCCTTGTCTACATGTTAAATTACACACCAGCCAGGGCTACACAGTTGGGCCTTGTCTAAAATAAAAACAAAAAATAAGACCTCATTTTTTTGGTTTCTTTTCTTTGAAAAGGCATTGAAGACTAAATACTTCAGTAATCGCCCAGGGCCAACACCTGGATGCCAACTTCCAAGACCAAACTGTCCAGCGGAAGCCCTAAAAGAACAGTCAAATCCAGCCATGGCAACAAAAAGAAAAAGGACAGAGGCCTTAGAACAAGGTAAAGACCCCATTGGTAAAAAATAAAAACAATGAATGACATCAGAAAGCTCTAAATAGCTCATGTATAGGTAGTGACTGGAAGCCAGTTAAGAAAATGGAGCTATGGAATTGTTTAAACTGTGTGCTATAAAGGACACTTCAGGCACTTTTGAGTAGATCTCAGAGTTCTTTTTTCACCTCATCCGCAGCCCATTTATTTTTCTGTGAATGTGTGCCATGTGTGGAGGCCAGAAGAGGGCTTCAGATTCCCTGGAGCTGCCATTGTGGTTATTTATTGTACATGCACACTACGAACCAATCTTGGGTTCTCTGGAAGAGCAGGAAGTGCTTTTTTGTTTTTAACTTTGTTATTTTTAAAATTCTTATTACTTATTTTTATGTGTATGGGTGTTTCATTTGCATGTATGTGTACCACATGTGTGCGGTACCTGGGACGGCCAGAAGAGTGCATCAGATCCCTGGGACTATAGTTACAGACAGCTTTGAGCTGCTCTGTGGCTGTTGGCAATTGAACCCAGGTCCTCTGGGAGAGTAGTGAGTGCTCTTCACAGTTGAGCCAGTTCTCCAGGCCTCTCTCCAGCAGTTCCTAAGAGTACTGTGTTAATTTTTAACAAGTGCCTGTAAGTCAGTGATGGTGTTGGAATGCAGTGAGTGAACAACCTTTTTGTTTTGCTTTCAGGAATATTGCCCAAGAAGCTAATTTTTTAGTTACAGCGAACAATGGACAGTGTTTCACACTGAAAGAAATAATCCAAAAGGCAAATAATGGAAGAAAATAGGGAGCATTAAATGCCATAGAAGAGAACTTGTATATATTCAACACATGTAAAATATGTAAAAGTATGGGTTATTTTTATTAAATGTATTTTAAAAGAAAATATTTGTGATTTATGACTAGAGTACAAAAATAGGTTCAGTTCTCTGAAATGTAATTCACAGTACATTAGGAGAGCCTTGGTATGTAATTGCTGGTTGCTTTGCAGCTTGGATGACATACCACCTCAAGTTCATTAGGAATAGTATTTAAAACAGAAAAATACTGTTAGCAGTTTTGCTAGTACTGAACACAACTTACCCAGATTAAGTAAACTTGAGAAGAACTGACACCTCCCCTAAATACTCCCCCACCTGGAACTTACTGTGATCCTCCTGCTTCAGCTCCTGAGTTGCTTTGATTATTCTGGCATGTACCACCATAACCAGCTTCCTTAATACTTTCCATTCCATTCCATTCCTTTTTACCCTCTCCAAGGAAATGGGTTTTAGGGAAATTTGTGTTTTTCACTCCATGATTTTGTACTGTTACCTTCAGAGAACTCTATCTCACCTTATTGTAGCACATGACTTTGATCCTAGCACTTAGTAAAGGCAAGTGGATCTATGAGGGTTTTTTTTTTGTTTTTTTTTGTTTTGTTTTGTTTTGGTTTGGTTTGGTTTTGGTTTGTTGAGACAGGGTTTCTCTGTGTAGCTTTGGAGCCTATCCTGGCACTCGCTCTGGAGACCACACTGGCCTCGAACTCACAGAGATCCACCTGCCTCTGCCTCCCCAGTGCTGGGATTAAAGGCATGCGCCATCAACGCCCAGCCAGATCTCTGAGCTTTAGAGGCTAGCCTGGTGTGCATACTGAATTCCAGGACAACAAGGGGTACATAGTGAGACCCTGTCGCAAAAAACAAAACTACTACATCTCATGCTGTTGTTTTTTTGTTTTTTACTTGGAAACTTTCTTTCCATATTAAAGAATATGAATCTAGTTGATTTAGTTACCTTATATTATTATAAACAATGCTATTTACTGGTGCTTTGTTTATGGACTATTACTTCTCTGTTGTATAAAATTTATCATAAAAATATCATGAATTGTGAGGCATTGTGGTGTATCCCTTTAGTCTCAGGACTTGATAGGGGGAGGCAGGTGGATGTCTATGCGTTCAAGGCCAGACTGGTCTACTGAGTGAGTTCTAGGGCTACATAGTGAGAACCTTTTTCAAGAACAAACACAAGTTTATGTGTAACTTAGTGGTAGAGTTTCTCACAGCATATATGAGCCCCTGATTGCAGTTCCTGGCACTATAAAATAAATGACACAAATCTATTGGGTAATAGTTCTTAGGAGAGGTCTTTTAAGTTATTATTATGTGCATGAGTGTTTTGTCTACATGTATGTCTGTGTAATATGTGCATTCCTAGTGCCCATGGAGGCCAGAAAATGGCATTAGACTCCCTGGAACTGGAAGTTCCATTAGGGTGCTGGAACTCAAACCTAGGTCCTCTGGAAGAGCAGCCAGTGCCTAATTACTGAGTCATCTTTCCAGCCCCACATGACTTGTATGGAATGTTTGGGAGAGCAAAACCTCACTCCTATTCTGAATTCTCCTTGAGTCTCATGGGAGGTCAAAAATAATACAAAATTCATAGAAAAAAAGTTGTACAAACTTAATATAAGTTTACATAGGGACCAGGTTTGGCTTCTTGTGCTTATAATCTCACACTTGTCAGGCTGAGGCATGACTGCCCCAAATTCATGGCCAGCCCAGCTACAAATAATTCTGTGCCAGTCTGCCCTCAGAGCAAGACTACCATCTCAAAAAGCAAAATAAAAATAATAGTTTTTGGCATGGGAGCCAACAGAGATACAGAAGACAAGTTAGGAGTCAGCTATGTAGCTGGGTGAGGTAGGCAGAGACAGGTCTCCATGGTATCCTGATCTACATAGTGAGTTCTCAGTCAGCCACAGATCATCATGAGACTCTGTCTCAAAAATAACAAAGTCAGCTACTTATGTGTTCGAAAAGAATAGTAAGTAATGAAAAGTGCTAAAGGCAGAATGGCTTGGTCAAAGTAGTTAACTTGAAAGGGAATTGGCTTGGTAAATAAGGATTAACAAGGCTGGTTCTACAAATTCATCGCTTTTTCATCCTTGATGTTGAAGATGTGTCTTTTTCACAGGGGAATTCATCTTTTGCTTTTATTTATTTTTCGCTTTTATTTATTTTTTTTAATCTTATGTGGATGGGTGCTTTGCCTGCTTGTATATCTGCATCATATGTGTGCTGGTACTGAGTCCAGAAGAGAGACTCTCCTGGAACTGGCATTACATAGTTGTGCTTAGCCATTTGGGTTCTAGGCAAACCTGGGTCATCTGGAAGAACAAGTCTTATCACTGAGCCATCTCTCCACCCCATCTGTTACTTTTAAGAACCACACAGGGTTGGGCAGTGGTGGCGCATGCCTTTAATCCCAGCACTCAGTAGTCAGAGGTAGGCATCTCTGAGTTCGAGGCCAGCTTGAGCTACAGAGTGAGTTCCAGGACAGCTAAGGCTACACAGAGAAATCCTGTCTCGAAAACAAACAAACAAACAAAAAACACACAAAGATAAAAGTGCTGTCTTATTGTTTTATAATTGATGTCTGATAAGTGTGTGTATGTGCACTCATGTCACAGCACATGTATAGAAGTTGACAGACAGCCTCGTGTTTCATCTTTCCCTTCCACCAGTTTTTGAGGCAGTATCTCATAAGCCACTCTGAGCCATGAGTCTTCGATTTTACCGTAGAGCACTGGGATTGCAGACACATGCTGTTGCTCTGCCTTTGTGTGGGTTCTTAGGTTCCAAAATCCAATCCTTAAGACTTGAGTGACAGGTTTGTTAGAGCCGTGTGCCTAGCCCACAGAGGAGTCTTTATAACATTGTCTGGCAGTGTGTTATATTTTTAAGTTTTTCAAAGCTGTCTTAGTTATTTTTCTGTTGCTATGATAAAACACCCTGACCTGATAAAAACAAGTTAAGGGGACAGGGGCTCATTTTTGCTTTATGATTCCTTTGAAATTCAGCACATCATGGTGTTCTCCACCATGATGGCAGCAGGTAGGGAAGCAGGAGCCCGTGAGGGCAGCAGGTAGGGAAGCAGGAGCCAGAGGCTGGCTGGTCACATTGTATATGCACTCAGGAAGCAGAGAGTGAACAGGAGTCGGGCAGGGCTAGAAAGCCTCAAGTCTGCCCCAGTGACCCGCTCCTTAGGGAGGCTCTACTTCGTAAGCTTATCAGACAGCACTGCCACCTGGGGACCAAGTGTTCAAACCTGAGCCTACAGGGAACAGTTCACAGTCAAACCTCCCTAACACAGTGTTTGGTTTTTGAGATAGAGCCGTCCTGAAACGTACTATGTAGATCAGGCTGGCCTCCAACTCATAGAGATCTACCTTTAAGTGTTGGAATTAAAGGTGCACAATTCATTTAAATTGTGGTGCTGGGATGAAACCATGGCCATACACATAATCAGTAAACTACCATGGAGCTACATCCCCAGTCCCAGTTCTTAGTTTTAAAAGAAGAGTGCCCACTGCCCTAGCATTTGATTGATGTTTTCTCAGCTTAATTTTTTTTTCTTTCTCCCCTACAGCCTCCAGAATAGTTAGGGTGACAGACATGTTCCATCACTCTGAACTCTTGGTTTCTTAAGGTAGCTCACATTGCTTTTGTGAGGCTTACTATCTACAAATTAGCAGTAAGTACTGTAACCTTGTGCTTCAACTCTGATTTTCTCATGGGCCACTGTTGCTAAAATTCCTTCTGTTGGGGAGATAGAAACAATGCCCACCCTCTCCTACAGTCCTAAGGACAGCCTAGAGTGAGGTTCCACAGAGTTCCCTCTGGGGATCCAATGGGCTTGTTAGCCTTACTTACAAAGCAGTGGGTGAGGGGTTATAAGCAGGAGGGAGCATGGGTAAAGTTCAAGGGGCCACAGCAGAAGGCCTGCACCCAACATGGATGTGACTCCCTATGGCTGTATTTGTAGATGAAGACCCTCCTTTAGTACCACCCAGCTAAATAGTCCCTACTATAGACCCCAAGACCTGTGTTATATGCAAATAGGGCAAACTTGCATATAACTGATAGGGCTGGGTATGCACTTGAAGGTCACATGACTCTCCCCATTTCCCCCACCCCAAGAGGGAAGGTGACCAGTCAAGCCCAGCTAGACTTCTGAAGATGTGTTGTGTTGGCGGTTTGGTATAGAGGATACTCCTGTACAGCAGCTACTAAGAGAGAAATTCTGTTTAAAAAAAATAAAAGGGGCTGGAGGCGGGGCTCAGGATAGGGGAGCTTGCTGCTCTTCAAGGGGACTGGAGTTAAGTTCCCAGTTCTGACAGGGCAGCTCTCAACTACTTGTAACTCCAGCTCCAGGGACTTTGCTGCTCTCTGCTGGTCTCCTCAGAGATCTGCACTTAGCATGCAGGAACACATAAAAATAAACCTTTGTTGTTGATGGTGGTGGTGTTTTTTTATTTTTTAATTTTTTTTTTTTTTGAGACAAGGTTTCACTATAATCCTAGCTGGCCCTGAACTTGGTAGGAGAGACCTGCCTACTAATGCCTTCAGAATTCTGGGATTAAAGGTGTACACCACCATGCTGACCCAAAATTAATCTTTAAAAGAAAAAAAAAATTGGGTTTCTGACTGGTTAGCAGTATAAAGATAAATTCACATAAGACTTTAATTTCATTTTTAAATCTCTTCACACCAGTACCAGGAATATACATATGCAATTTGTCTAATGTGCATACTTAATACTTGTGAGGTCATTTTCTGTTAATGTTGACATTGTTGTGTTTCTGTGCACACCAGACAGAGAATTATGCCTTTGAACAGTCTGGAATAAAAACATGATTTTTTTTCCTTTTTTTTAAAATCCCTTGGCATGTCTCTTCCTACGGTTACATTTCACGGCATGTGGCTATCTTGTACATATTGAGTACATCATCTATCCCTTTTATAGCCATTCAGACACCAAGCTGCTCAACCTATGATGCATATTTTATCAAAGACTAAAAATAGCAGAAACTAAGGTTGGAAATAGGCTAGCTTCATAACCAATTGGTTGATAGCTGCAAAAATGTAAACATCCCCTTAGTGAAGAGTGGGCAGTTGATGGCAGTTTAGCACATAGCTAAAATCTGAGATTTAATAGTGCCAAAGAAACCAGTGACACTTAAAATGTCACTTAAACCTATTTTGTGTTGTATGTCTTCAGGTGTGGTTGCCCTGTGTTGCCCAGGCTGCCCTAGAACACATGCTCCTCCTGCCTCCTGTTTACTATGAGCTGGGATTACAGGTGCATGCCACCATTCCCAGCTTCTTCCTTTAGGGAGGGGACTATACTATACAAATACATGGGCCTTTGTATGGTCATACTAAACCACTATTTTAAATTTTTTGTTACATTTATATGTGTGTATGTACAGACGTGCATATTCGTATGTGTGCACACATATTACAGAATATGTGTAGTGGTCAGAGGACAGCTTGTAGGCATTGGTTCTCTTTTACTATGTAGGTCAGAAGGACCAGACTCAGGTTGTCATGTTTGACAGCAAGCGCCTCTACCAGCTGACTTAGGTTTTAATGCCTTTTGGTTTGAAACAGGGTCTCTACAATATATAGCCCAAGGTGGCCTCAAACTCTGCCTCCCAAGTGGGATTACAGGCATGCGCTACCACGCCAGGCCACTAACGGGCTTTTGTATTGCTTAGAGCCTTGATAACCGTTTGAGATTCCTGTACTAGCCTTAACACATCTGTAAGCACTTCCTGCCTGTGTGCAGGATTAGATCCTGGCTGGATCAGATACAAGCTTTGCAGATTTAACCTTTGTAAAAAAAAACAAAAAAACAAAAACAACAAACCTGTAAATCACATATGCCTTTTTGTTTGTAATTATTTTTCTTTGGTTTGTAGAATTGTTCCAGTAGAGAAATGTAGAGCTTATATCGTGTCCCCGTTTGCTTTCGTGCCTTCACCCTGTTACACTTCATGCTAGAGAAACTGTGTGGGGACTGACTTTTCTGTATGTTGTACACATATGTGCTTGATGTGTTAATCCATGAGTGTCTCCCCAAATAAACATGACATCTCCCACTTTGCAGCTCCTTCTTGCGGTTATATATGTTTCACTGTTTGCCACAGCTCCACAGATTTCGTGGATGTGCCTCACTGGTCTGTTCCCCTATGGGCAGGAAGGATGTAACCTTGTCCCATGTTTTCACTTGTACAAACACTAGCCAGACCTTTGGGGCACTCTCTATTTAATCTTAATAGAATGAGTATGATGTAGTCACTCTTTGCTGTGAAGTAAATGGAATAGTTACTAAGCAAGACTATTACTAAGTCCTACGGAATGGAGGGTTTTGTTTTGTTTGGGGTTTTTGTTTGTTTTGGGACAGAGACACAATGTAGCCCAGACTATTCTTGGCAGTCCTGCCTCAGTCTCTCAAGTGCTGGGGTCATAGGCATTGAGTCACCCCAGTTTTTTCCTCCCTCAGTTTCTTATCTATGATAGTATACTGCTGGTTCAGAGTCATGGAATGATTCTTTACTTTCCCTTTAAGTGTCTAACAGTTACCATTAAGTTTACAATGTCCACAATCTAAATGGAACAGTGAAACCTCATAGTCTTAAACTGTATCATGAGATAAGCTATTGTGGGTGAGGCGGTGGGGTAAAGTATTCTCTTTAAAATTCAGTGTTTCATAATGAAGTCTATTACATGTCTCTTGGCAGGGACATAATCTGAGAAATAGTTAGGGGATTTTGCCATTATATAAGCAGTAACATACAGTTCCAACATTAATAGGCTGTGTCATCTAATGGAGCCACTGTTGTATATGTGGCCTGTTGACTGGCTTGTGGGGCTATATAGTACATAACTTTTAATAACCAGAAAGTTGAAGTGTTCATACCATTTTCCAGTGCTTTCAATAACCTTTAACCTGATATCCAGATCTTTTTATTAAAATCATATGGCAGGCAGCTGGTTATGGTGGCTCACACCTTTAATCCAGGCACTCAGAAGGTAGAGGCAGGCGAATCTCTGTGAGTTCCATGCCAGCCTGGTCTACAAAGTGAGTTCCAGGACAGCCAGGCCTACACTGAGAAACCCTGTCTTAAAAAAAAAAAAAAAAAAAAAAAAAAGGCTGAGACCTTCTCTGGGACCATCACATCCACTTCCAGGACAGAATGAGAGAGCTGCTAAGTAAGCATCCTTTAGGTTTGGCTACAGAATGTTTCTACTGATCAAAAGAATATACTGTGAAAGGAACTAGTAATTAGTATGAAAATATTGTTAAAATGCCACCATAATTTTTTATGGAAGTTAACAAATCATTTGAATGGTAGTAAATAAAACATTCTGAAAATGGCAGATAAAGAGATTTTAGCTGGGGGATGGTGGCTCACACCTTTAATCTCAGCACTGGAGGCAGAGGCAGGTGAATCTCTATGAGTTCGAGGCCAGCCTGGTCTACAGAATGAGATCCAGACAACCATGGCTGTTAACACAGAAAAATCCTGTCTTGAACCTCCACCCCCCAAAAGAAAAAAGTTTTTAAAAATTAACCATTGCTCCTAAGTATTGTTTGTTACATTGATATTTATCTGACCTAAGATCCATATAGTTATTCTAAATAAATACTACTACTATAACATTAGTTAAACTTTTTAAAATATTTTTATTTTATTATTTATGGTTTTTGTTGTGTTTTCAGAGTATCAATACGTAGACCAGGCTGGTTTCAAATTCACATCTGCCTGCCTCTGCCTCCTGAGTGCTGGGATTAAAGGCAGGCACCACCACCACACCCAGTTTTATTTATGTAGTCACAAGTATAAGCCACAGTAAAGTGTGGAGACTGGAGAATGACTCTTGGGAGTTGGTTCTCTCCTTCCATCTTGTGGATGCTGGGGATCAAACTCATGTTACCGTGTTTGGTAGCAGGAGCCTTCACCCAGTGAACCATGCCCTGGCTCTAGTTGTGGTTTTTGAGTCAGTTTTTTGCTAGGTAGCATACAGACTGTCCTAAGACATGCAACCGTGAAGCCTCTTGAGTATTGGGTATACAGGGATGTACCACCACACACAACAGAAAAATTACTTCATAAGTAATTGTGCATGTGTGTACATATGCTTGTGCTTGCATGTGCTCACCAGAAGTCAGCCTTAGGCGTTGTCTGCCTTATTTTTTTGAGACCGGGTCTCTCTGGGGCCTGGGGCTCTCCTATTAGGCTGGCAGGCCTGTAGGCCTCTGCATCTCCAGCAGTCAGGTTACAGGTATGCTCCACTGTACCTGGCTAACTTTCCATGTGGCCTGAGGATCAAATGCAGCCTCATGCTTGCATTTACCAGCTGAGCCATCTCCCCAGCGCCATAAAGAACTTTTCATTTTTCCCAAGAATATTTGTTTATAAGATAGATAAACATTGAAATGTCATAAAATATGGAAAAGCATTTTATAAATAAGATGTCCACACAATACATTTCTTATACAATACTAGTATATTTCTTATAGAACATGTGTTAAAGATTTGATTACTTAAGCTGCATCCTAAAATTAAAAAAGGAGGATATGGTCAAAACACATATATTGTTAATATATCTATTCAGATATCATAATGAACTTACTACTTTGTAAATTACTATGGTAACACATTTTAAAAACATCTAGAAAACATACAACTTCTTAATATTTATCAACATTGGCAATAGTCTTACTGTAATCTAGTCAAATTCACAGTAGTCTTTTTGCCTAAGTCTCCCAAGTGCTAGGATTTAGAAGTATGATCCTCCATGCCCTGTGTTTCTTTTCAAAGTCCTTGCAATGCTGAACATCAAATCCAAGGCCTTTTTTGTTTTGTTTTGATTTTTCAAGACAGGGTTCCCTTGTGTTGCCCTTGTCCTGGAACTGGCTCTGTAGACTACCTGGTCTCAAAGTCAGAGATCTGCTGCCTGTCTCAGATTCCCAAGTCTGGGATTAAAGGTGTACACCACCATGTACTAAAACCAAGGCCTTATGAACACTGACCAAGTGTCCTCCTACCTCTGAGATACATTTCCAACTCCAAAATCTGATTTTTAGCAACTCTAATCCTAATTTCATCTGGTTTGTTTTTAAAATATATTTGATGGCAAAGAACAGGATCTTTTAAGAGCTCTTGAGCAGTCTGAGTGTCTCTGGGGATGCTGGACTGAACAAATGCAACCCACAGGATCAGAAACATGGACATTTGAATGTGCTGGATCACACAAAACACAGTCTTCTGAAGCTTCCTGCCAGGAGGTTGTGAATAGGAAATTCTGGTTCCTGGGAATTCTGCCCTTATTCTTTGCTGCAGTGTCTTTGTCTTCCAGTGTCCGAGCAAGCATGTAACTGACCTTTCTTTGATGAGCCAGTGCTTCTTCTTTGTCATTCAACTGTAAACAGAAGTTAGGAATGTCAGTTAGTCAGGACATATGCAGGAAGGGAGTATTGCATCTTACCCAAATACTGCATCCTAAATATTAAATTCATCATATTTTAAAATAATCTTTAATCAAATGCTGGGGGTTTTAAGTGAATTTTTAAAATTTATTTGGTGTGCATGTTTATATGTGTGCCATGGAGTACATTCCGGTGTTGGAGAGCAACTTTCAGGAGTCAGTTCTTTCCTTCTACCATGTGGGTCTAGGAATCAAATTGAAGTTGGCTGGCTTGGCAGCAGGCTCCTTTACCTACTGAGCCATCTTGATGGCTGAATTGTGCTTTATTTTTTATTTTAAATTTTTATTTATGTGTATGTATGTATATGTGCCATGTGTGTGTAGGTACCTGAGAAGCCTGAAGAGGGTATCAGATCTTCCAAAACTGGATTTACAGGAGGTTTTGAGCCACCCAGTGTCATTGCTGGGAAGTGAAGTAAATGTTCTTACCTAAGGAGCCAAACTGAGTCATCTCTCTAGTCCCAAGATTCTTTTTTTTTAATGAGGGTGGTGAGGGTGGAGGGCAGCAGTGAGGTGGCCTGTGAAGTAGGGTACTCCACATGCAGGCTTGCCGTACTGAGTCCAATCCTTGGAACTCACAGAAAGATGGAAGGAAAGTGCTGATCCACAGAGTTGTCCTCTGACCAACACGTGTGCCATGGCATGTTGTGCTCACACATACATCATACATACATACAACGACAATAAAACTTCCTTTAAAAAAACCCAGCGAGAGTTAGTGTTACTTCTCTTGTTATAACCCTGTAAGTCACCTAGTGACAAGGAAGATTGTATATATGTATGTAAAACAACATGTACTGACTTCTGAAAGAACATTTAAAGCTGTATCTAAAATTGTTTCTATGTATTTATATACAAATAAATGTGTCAACAGAGTTAAAAGTGTGTTGGCTCTAAGTGCTTGTGTCGGTGTCTTTCTTTAGTAGCTATCTGTGAAGGGTACCAGGACTGATTGCAGGTTTGCAGGTTGTGTTGGCCACTTAAGGGTATTGTGACAAAGTGCCTGGAATACGCGAATGCCCTGAGCTTCATGAAAATGCAGGCAGCTGAACTGGCTGGAATGAATCCCTGACCCCTCTCCCCTCTTCAGATGTGGGACTTTAAATCCTGCACAGCAGTGATCCGAAGGGAATTGGGGAGAGTTGGCAGGGAGATGATGGGGAGTGGTACCAGGTGAAGCAAAGTGCTAAAGAAGCAAGCAAGGCCTCGAGTGAGGAACCCATGGATGAGCTGAACCACAGCCCCTAACAAAAGCAAGTGGAGGTCCAGTACTAACCAAGTCTATTAGCATCCTGAAGACTTCTTGCTGATTGTCTTGGTCTTCAGTCCTCTTGGAACTGTTTTCTGAAGGGAGTATCCCCAGCAGCCTCTGCCCAAAGGTCTTCTTTCTCCTTTGTGATGCATATCCTAAAATTCAGTGGGAGAAACCAGCTGAGAAAAATATACTCACTGATGGTAGTTGCAGTAAAATAAGTGTCTGTGAGCCAAAGCTAAGGGATTTCTAAAACCATCGAGTGGTCATCCTCACAAAACCACAAGGATCAATATTGCAAGTTGCACAGCGTAATGGGGGAATGTGGTTCCAGGTATGGGTGGGGACTTGGAAGGTGAGACATGCTGTTGGGAACTCTAGGTCATCACAGCAGAAATCCAGGTCTCTGTGACATTTCCCAATTTTAAATTCCAGCCACTAACCACACTATTTGGAAACTAACTGCACAGAATCCCCACTCAGCCTTTTTTTTTTTAACATACATTTATTTATAATGAAATTATGGTCTAATTATTTACAATCAATATATAGGAACCATATAGAGAGTAAGTTTGTACAAAGCCAGTCTCCAAAGTATCTAAAAAATGTGCAAAAATGAGTATCTCAAACACTCCTGGCTCAGCCACCAACCGATTCCTTCACTTCCACACACCAATATTTAACCCACTTCTGGCTCAGCCACCAGTTCCTTCACTTCCATACATTAGTATTTGATACAAAAAAGTTCTTTTGGCAAAACCTGCCATGCCAAGATAAAAGGACCCACTCAGCCTCTTAACCAAAGCTTTAGATGAGTTTTCTGACCTTCCCATTTGCCACTGTCATTTCTGACGATGACAAAATATAAAGTTTACCATTTTTAACATTTTCATTATATACCATAAGCTTGGGGAGTTTGTTAATGACACAGTTTCTGTTTGAGAAGGTAATTCTGAAGCTTCGTGGTGGTTAGACAACTTACTGCTGTACTAAACTTGGTTAAAATGGTAGATTTTGTGGGTAGTTTATCATCATAGAAACGTAATTGTGAAAACACTTAGCCCAGTATTAGCATACAAAATGATTCTCTATATCTTGATTTATCACAAAGATAAAATTTGTAGAAACAGGTGGGGTGCACACGCTTCTAATCCCAGCCCTCCGGAGGCAGATGGACACACATGTGCCATGGCGAGCATATGGAGGTCAGAGGGCAACTTTTGGGAGTTAGTTCTCTCCTTCTACTATGTGGGTCCCAGGGCTTAAATTCAAGCCTAGCTGAATTGAGTTTCTGATCCTCCTGCCTCTACCTCCTAAGGGCTGGGATTTCTGACATGTGCCTTCATGCCCAGCTAAATGCCATTTTCCTTTTTGTTGTTTTGATACAAGGTTTCACTAGGTATTGTTGGAAATCTCAGCTCTAGCCTCACTCCTTTCAGTCTCCACCCCTCAGAAGGCATCCAAGGGTCAGCTCTCCCCTGGAGCTGATCAAGACTACACCTACAGGGTACTTAAGACCTAGCCCACAGTTCTGCCACATGTTTGGCCTCCTGCCTTCCTAAGAGTCACCCAGAGTGCTGTGCTGTGCTCGGTTTATTAAATCTGGATTTATTAATTTGGTTTGACTTGTTGCAGCAGCAGAGAAATCCAATGACGGGGATCCAATACTTATCAGGTATCTCTGATGAGCCTACAACCCATATGTAGACCACGCTGGCCTGGAACTCACAGAGATCCACCTGCCTCCTCGGTGCTGAGTTTAAAGGTATGCATCACCATGCCCAGCTAAATGTTATCTATGTTCAGTGTTACTTTCCTCTTGGCATTTGAGAGTCTCTTGAGTTAGGACCTCCAGTTAGTTGTTTGCCTCAGTTTCTTAGTGCTGGGATTACAAACATGTACTACCATTCCCAAGTAATCAGAGCACTTGTAATAATTATGTCTCTTCCCACTTAGCATAGCCTTGTGTAACTGAGGTAGAAGACCACTAGAAAAGAGTACTGAAAAGATGGCTTGGCAGTGAATTACTGCTCTTGCAGAGGGCCCGAGTTCAGTTCTTATTATAACCACCTGTAGCTCCAGGGGGACTCCAGCAACCTCTTCTGGTCTTCCTAAACTGCTGTGGAATATTAGTTTAACTATGTTGCATTTATTTAACTTGCCTGCCTAAGCACCTGATTGGTCTATTAAAAAGCTAAATGGCCAATAGCTAGGCAGGAGGTATAGGCAGGACTTCAGACAGAGAGTAAGTAGGAGGAAGAATCTAGGCTTGACAGAGAAAGAGGAAGAAAGAAAAGAGATGCCAGGGAGACTCCAGGGGCCAGCTAATCGGACACATAGGAAGCAGTTAAGTAGGACATACAGAATGAAAGGTAAAAAGCTCCAAGGCAAAACCTACATTAATAGAAACCAGTTAAGTTAAAAGAGTTAGTGGGGGGGCTGGAGAGATGGCTTAGCAGTTAAGAGCACTGACTGTTCTTCCATAGGTCCTGAGTTCAATTCCCAGCAATCACATAGTGGCGCATAACCATCTGTAATGAGACATGGTGCCCTTTGCTGGCATGCAGGCAGAAGACTGTATACATAAGAAATAAATAAAATCTTAAAAAAAAAAGTTAGTGGGACAAGCCTAAGCTAAGGCCGAGCATTCAAAATTAATAATAAATCTCCTTGTCTTTATTTGGGAGCTGGTTGACAGCCCAAAGAAAATTCTGACTACAATCAGCACCTGCATGCTTGTCTGCATGCACAGGCACACACTACGACAAGAAGTGTTAGAAAGAGCTTATTCGGGCTGGTGAGACGACTCAGAGGTTAGGAGCACTGGTTGCTCTTCCAGAGGTCCTGAGTTCAATTCCCAGAAACCACATGGTGGCTCATAACCATCTGTTATGAGATCTGGTGCCCTCTCCTGGTGAGAAGACATACATGGAAGCAGAATGTTGTATACATAATAAATAAATCTTTAAAAAAAAGAAATTATTCTGTTTCTTTATAGTTTTATTAACTTTGAATCTCATTTGCATATGCAATTGCCAATGTCTTAGAATTTCTACCTCTGCCCCCTGCATTGTAGCAATACAGTTATGTGCCACCATGCTTGGTGCATCCCAGTTTCTTAGTTACAACAAAACAAAGTCATTATGTTGTGTTCACGTGTATGAACATATATGTATATGTGGGCATATGTGTCAGCCATGGCCTGCTGTGGAGACAGAGGACACCTCTGTGGAGTCAGTTTTCTCCCTCCTGTAGAGGAAAAGTTACTGAATCATTGTATCTAGGGTACACATTAGAATGAAATAATTGTTTTCACTGTATCTAGGGTAAACTTCAGAATGAATAGTTGTTTTCTAGAAGTACTTGGACCTTGGAGAAATCATTGTGGGAAATAGTGATTGTTTGCTGTTATCTATAGCATTGTTTTCTGAAGGTGTTTTACAGCCTTTGCATGACTTTGGTCACAAGATGGTCCTGGCACACCTGGATGTCTTGAATTATTGGGTACTGCACACAGTTGCTGGGGTGTGATGTTTCCCTTCAGAGAGCATGTAGATTAGATCAGGGGCTTTGGTATGAGGGACTTGTTTTACTCCCCAATAATACCTTTTGTGTAACAATCAATAAATATGTCTTTGCACAGCTGTTTGGGAGTCAGTTCATAGAAACTGCTCCTCCCTGCTGCCAAAAAGTCTAAGATTCATCTTGGAGTGATCCTCTTTCTTAGATTGACCCTTGAAATACAGAACACCAACACCCTCAACTTTTGGGTTCAGGGATGAAACACAAGTTGTTAGGCTTGATAGCAAGTACTTCTAGCTGCTGAGACATCTCTTTAGCCCCAACACTTGCTAAATTTAAAATGAATGGTAACTACATGAAAAGCTTCAATCCTACCTCTCTCCTGTGTTTTATCGACTTTGATTATATCCCAAAGCAACTACAAACCCCATTCTCCCTAGTTACCATCCTCTTTCGGGTGTTGCCTGTTTATTCCTGTTGCTGCTCTTCTACACATATCCACGTGTGCCAGTCTCAGTGCCTGCTCGTTTTTCCTCATTAATTGTTGCTCAAAAGCAATTCTGAATGCATCTGCCATTATGTGAGCTTCTTCCTTACTTTTCTGCAGAATTTCCAACTGAAAGAGAATTGGGGAGCCATGGGAGGTGAAACTGGAATCATTTTTATATATGAACCACTGTATTGCCCATTGTACCAGCACTCTGGCATGGATGCCAGCAGTCTGCCTTATGCCTGTCAACTCCCTGCTAATCCAGCTCTTGAAACTCACTACCCTGGCTTGGCCCCTGTATGTCCTGCCCAATCCTGGAGGAAGGGCACAGCTGAAAAAAAAAGGAAACCGCCCAAGGCTACATTTCAGTTTGGCCTCTCCAGTACTTCCCCTAGCTGAACTTCAGTCTGATCTATGTGATTATATGCTGTTCGGTTTTTGTTTGTTTGTTTGTTTTGTTTTTTGAGACAGGGTTTCTCTGTATTGTTTTGGAGCCTGTCCTGGAACTCACAGAGATCCATTTGCCTCCTGAGTGCAGGGATTAAAGGCGTGCACCACCATTGCCCCGCCATATGCTGTTCTTAATTAAGGGGTAGCTAATGTTTGGCTGTTAGCCTTCCTATGTTGTCCAAGAGCTTTAAATTCTGTATCTTAAAAAAGGTAAAACAGTGGCTGAGCACAGTGGCACATGGCTTTAATCCCAGCACTGGGGAGGTAGAGACAGGCAGATCTCTGATTTCAAGGCCAGCCTGGTCTAGAGAGAGTTCCAGGGCAGTCAGTGATACACAGAGAAGCCCTGTCTCAATACAAAACAAAGAGTAAAACAGTTTTAGAAGTATGTCAAGTCAAAAAACCTTCATAATTAAAGTCCAGTTATAAGGGCAACTATCAGCTGGTTAATGCCTGGCCTGTGGACAATAAACATTGTGTCTGTTTCTTCCAAGATAGTTATCATTCTGTTAACCTATGAGAGGACTGAGGCTTATTCAGCCCAAAGTCACACAGCAAACTATGGCGCTAAGGTGCACAGCTGGTCAAGCGCATAAGTGTTCCTTCCATTTCAGATAAGCTCTGTGTTCACCTCCCCATTTCCCAGTGTTAATTCCACTGATTTTAAGTGTAAACACACCATTTCCCTCTGTTAACTGTGATTTGAGGGCTGTATATAAATGAGAAAATATGAATTTAAGAAATATAAACTACACACCTAGTCAAACAACTTTATCTGGCTTCAGATTTCATGCAATGTACTATGTGTGTTTTGGAACCAGGTAAATGAAATCCAGTGCACAAGTTAATGCTATCACATAAAACCAAGGTAGGTTCCACAGCCTAAGACGAAGTTCATTATTGCAAATACTGCCATTTATCCTACTACTAATAAAGGGACTGAACCAAAGCATCTGATAAATACCTCTTGTTTGAGCTGAAGAACCAGTTTCCGAGTGGATGCTGCCATTCTGGCACAAGAACAGGGGCTCCCTCCAGGACCGAGACACAGGCAGGCTCCAAGGACAGCAAGCTTGAAACGCAAAGGCATTGCCTGTTACCAAGTGTCACTCTGTCTCAGCCACCTACAAACACCACCTCACAGCCATGCACATGCTAGTCAAGCCTCTGATCCGAGAAAGTGGAAAGTGTGTGTGTGTGTGTGTGTATACAGATATAATGTTATATATGATGTATATGATAGACATTTTTTAAAGAAAATCTGAGGCAAGGAATTCATGATCTGAGTGGAAATAACCACAAATGAGACATTACTACTTGCAACAAAAACTTCCCCCTCTCAAAACCTTTAACCCTGGTATTCACCTCCAATAACTTTGATTATGCAGCAAGAATTTAGCCTAACCAAGCCGTTAAGACTAATAATACCCAGAATGAGTGCTTCCCATGATAGGCGTGGCCTTACAGCCCGCATTCCCTATGTCCATCTCCTCCAAGACTGTGCTCAGAATGAACAGTGAATTTTATTTTGCCCCTGGGGAAAGCAATCATTGTTACACTCCTAAGAAAAATTATTCTGTGGGGCTGGCTCAGTGGTTAAGAGCACTGGCTGCTCTTCCAGAGGTCCCAGGTTCAATTCCCAGCATCCTCATGGTGACTCACAAACATCTTTAGTGGGATCTGATACCCTCTCCTGGCATAAAGATGTACATGCAGATAGAGCACTCACAAAATGAATAAATGACTCTCCAAATCATGTGCTATATTTTAGACTATTTCTTGGGTAGTGACTTGTAGCCCTGACCCCACGAAACTTGACTAAGGCTGAAGTGACAAACAGGGTCACTCCTGGTTGACCCCTGTAACTCAAAGAAAAGCAAGAACCTCCCTTTTGTTTTTCATCCTTATAGCAGCTAGGCACACTTATTAATTTAATAGGGGTAGTCTACGTAGTATTGTACCATGTACTCTGAAGTTTCATTAGGAGCTTACTGCAAAATTATTTAACTCTAACTAGCTGTGTGGCAGGGAAAATTACCCCACCATTCCTGTCTTACTGCATGTGTGATGGAGAGCTTGAGTCAGAGAGTGAAGGTTAAATGTGTTGGGTCTTAGAAGACTCGACACATGGGCAGGGCAGTGCAATGTGTATTCTTGGTGACAGTTGCTTTCATTTTTCTTTTTTCCTGTGTTCTCCATTGTGTGGAAAGCATGCTTCTTAGAAATCCTAAGTTCCTTTGTCCCTCACCAGCTAAACTTCCACATTGTAAGCCTCAGACAACACATCAGATCTTTGTTCTGAACCTGGGTAAGCCACAGCTTCCCTTTCACCGTGGGAAAATAACTGAACCTACCTACCTAGCCTTCGTTCCATGACACCCCTTTGCAGCCCTTCAGTGAGGATGATAGGTGAAAGCCAGAACCACCCAGCAGGGAGGCATGGCTCCGGCAGTGTGTGCTGCGACTGTTAACATCAGGCATGAAAACAGCAGTTGGCAAGAAGCAACCTGGGCGGTCCTATGTGTAAGGATTCAGGCATTATGCTGGCCTGCCCCTGTCACCTGGCAGAATGTACTCAGGCAGTACCCTGGTCAGCCCAGGTGCAAAGGACCCCTTTAAAAGAAAGACTTCTGCCCATTTATGCTCCTTTTGCTCTCTCTTTCCCGCTGTTCCCCTGGGGCAGATAGGACTTTTCCTGTCTCCCTCTTCTCTTCTGTCTTCTCTGTCTCTTTACCTCTTTTTTCCTTCCTCCTTCCCTCCCCTTTCTAATAAAACTTCTCACTAAGCTCTGTCGGCCCGGTATGTTTGTCCCCTCGCCTCGGTCACCCTTGCCTGCCATGGAATCCGTCAAGGTTCACCACACTTTATGCTAACACTATGGGCCTCTTGAACCCCAGTCTGAGCAGCTAAGTTTGTTGCTGTCCTCGAGCCAGCAGCAGGGAATAGGAAAGCAGACGATGTCCCTCCCATCCGGCTGTCACTGGTGCACACATACCTCGAGACCGGACACCTCTGCAAAGCCACTGTCCTCCTGAACCATGTTCTCCTGAGCCATCTTCTGCTGTTTGATATCAAGCATGGCGAGGGCCTCCAAATACCGCTGATTCAAAACTAAGAAGGGCCACACATGACAGTGTTAGTTCTCTGAGGCCAACTGCAGCCTCTCCATGGTGATGCACCAAAGCCATACACTCACTTCTAAGAACACATACAGCAGACATTATATAAGACTGGGCTCCACCCAGAAAACCTACCTGATGTGACTGTCTCATCCTACGGTCTTATCTTACCAGACAAGGGTCAGGTCCTGTTACTCCTTTGGTGTACTACATGGCGACTGCCTCTGCCTACGTTTCCCAGAATTCTCCTCGTCTGGTAGCCCCACCTATCTTTCCTGCCTGGCCACTAGCCAGTCAGTGTTTTATTCATCAACCAATAAGAGAAGCATATACAGGCCTGGCAGTGCATGCCTTTAATCCCAGCACTCGGGAGACAGAGGCAGGTGAATCTCTGTGGGTTCGAGACCAGCCTGGTCTACAAGAGCGAGTGCCAGGATAGCCTCCAAAGCCACAGAGAAACCCTGTCTCGAAAAACCAAAAAATAAACAAATAAATAAATAAATAAAAAATAAGAGAAGCATATACAGAAGGACAATCCCCATCACTGGAGGACACAGGTTCGATTCCCAGCACCCACATGGCAGCTAGCAACTGTCTGTAACTCGAAGATCTGACAGCCTCACACAGACATACTTATAGGCAAAACACCAATGCACATAAAGTAAAATTTTAAAAAAATCTGTAAGAAAAATTGGTGCTACCATGATTCTACCAATGTTCACCATAAGGTGGTTCATTATATAAGGGATATGCAACATACATATTTTACAACCTACACTAACGTGGTTCTTCATTACATAAGGACTAGGAAACATGGATTTTACACAGGAGAGCACACACAGCTGCCGTAGCATCATGTTCTACTGTCATTCTATTTTGCTTTTTGGAGAGAGTTTCTTACTCTAGCCCTGACTGGCCTAGAATTCACTGTGGAGTCCAAGCTGCCCTCAAACTCATGGCAATCCTCCTGCCTCAGCCTCCCAAATGATGGGCTTACAGGTTGCCCTGCCTTTCCTAGCCTTTTATATGGAAACTGTGTCAAAAGGGATACTAGAGAGAAACTGAACACAGCATTTACTTTGGAATATATAGGAAAATTGCGGAAATGGTTGAGGACAGTAACTACAGAGGATGTCAACACCACTAAATTAATCATTTCTATACTTACATTTTTCAAAAATTCCACATGTATACCATGTGATTTGAGCAAATCCACCAACACCTCCCAATTGCTGCTTTTTGTTTGTTTGTTTGTTTGAGACAGAATCTCCCTATGTAGCCTTTGGCTGTTGTTAAACTATGCAGACCAGGCTGGCCTCAGACTCATAGAGATCCACCTCCAGAATGCTGGGATTGAGGGTGAGTGCCACCACGGCTGGCCCAATTGTTTATTTTTAAAGGATTAATTTTATGTTGTATGGATTTCACCTTTAAGAAATCGTTTTAAGAAAATCTAAATGATACATTTCTTTATTTTCCCTAAATTATATTACTTAAAAATGCTAGCACTGTGTCTATATTGACAAGAGTATTCTTGCTGTCTTTAAACATATTTTATTGTTACAACTATTATTTTTGAGGCAAGGTTTCTCTGCATAGCCCTGGCTATCCTGGAACTCACTCTGTAGACCTGGCTGGCCTCTAACTCACAGATCCACCTGTCTCTGCCTGGGATTAAAGATGTGAACCACCACCTCGGGCTAACATACTTTAAAAGAATCATTAAAATGCATTACTCACCAGCATTTTCAGACTTAAGCATTTTAATTTCTTCTGTTTTCACCTTCAGATTCTCTCTGAGGATTGCATTATCACAGTTTAGTCTGGGAAAAAAAACAACTAAATAATTAAGATATTAGCACCTCGAGGAGCAAAAATATTTTTATTTCTAAATTTATTAAATTTAATTATTTGTGGGAGTCACAAAAGTGTACATATTGGAGTCAAAGGACAACTTGTGGGAGTGAGTTCTCTTCTTCTGCTATGTGGGTCCTGGGAGCAAACTCAGGCCATTGGACTTGGTGGCAAGTGTTTTTATCTACTCAGCCATCTGACCAACCTTAAATTTATACTCTTAAATCTTTTAGATATCTAGTTGAGAAATAAGCAGACTCAGAATTCACATTCTCATTTACATTAATATAATTTTAATTCTACTTAATAACCATTTGGACACTGGCTCTGTGCTTGGGCCATCTTAGACAGGTCCTCACGTAGGCCGTGATACTGAGTCACTGCAGGTCCATGGGTCGATACTGAGTCACTGCAGGTCCATGGATTATAACCCTGGTCTAAGCTAATGAGGATGTGGACAACAGGAAACTGTGCATGGGGAGATCATATGAGAAGTCACTATACCTCCCGCTCAATGTTGCTTAATTCTAAAAAAACAAAAAGAGTCAAACCTAAAGTCCTTCACTGGGGGATGGGGTGAGAGAATGCTCACCCATGTTCCTAGCGCCTTTATTCAAAATAACTGTAAGGTAGAAAGAAGCAAGACCCAGTGGCCATCTAGGACTTAAGGAGTAAACAAATATGATCTTGTTCTTGGAAGAAGATTGGAAATCTTGAGAAGAAATTCTGAAACATGTTACACCGGAGGAACCTTGCAGGACAATTAAAAAGGACAGAAACTCTACACGGCTGTGAATATGAAGCAAATTCAGAGACCAGAAATTGAATGTGGGTAGTTAGGGACTCTGGAAGGCACCAACGACAAGTAGCTGTGTGATGGCACTCGGGGTACGTGGTGGTGATGGCTGTACAGTGGCCTTCTCTCCGTGGGATTCTGTCTACCTCGTGTAGCTTGGGCTGACCTTGAACTCCTGATCCTCCCATCAGGCGCTATGATTGCAGGCCTGTGCCACTGTTCCATGCTTGTTTGTTTTGACCCAGAGTGTTGCTATATAGCTGAAGCTGACCTGATCTCCTGCTTGCTTCCTAGACTTATTACAGGCTTTTGTCACCACGCCTGGCTTACTGTGATTATGCCACTTGATTCTGAAGACAGGATCTTGCAGTGTCGCCCTAGCTGGCCCTATACCACTGCAGTTCAGGCTGGCCTCAAACTCATAGCAATCCTCCTGCCTCAGCCTCTTGAATATTGATTGATGTTACAAGCATGCAACCCTACGTGGGATTTAATGTCACTGAACTATATGTTTTTCGTTTGTTTTTGGAGACAGGGTTTCTCTGTGTAGCTTTGGAGCCTGTCCAGGAACTCACTCTATAGACCAGGCTGACCTCGAATTCACAGAGATCCACATGCCTCTGACTCCTGAGTGCTGGGATTAAAGGTGTGTGCCATCACTGCTTAGCTTGAACTATACATTTTTTAATGGTCAAGATGGTAAATTTTATGTTAGAGTTCACATAATAAAAAAAATACAAAGGACAAAGGGCTGGCAATATAGTGGGAAAGCATGTGTCTAGCCGACAGGAATGCATGATGCCCTGGGTTTAACCTTCAGCACCGCAGAAAACAAACAAAAAAGAAAGAAAGCAGCAGGACACTAGTGAGTAAAAATGAAATTCATTACAAAATTGCCTGTGGTGGGGGTCACACACACACACACACACACACACACACACACACACACACACACACACACAGAGTTCAGCTGGGAATGGCAGAACACTACTGTAATCCCTCATGGGAGGCCGAGTCACGCCAGCCTAGGTTATGTATTAGGAGCCTTTCTCAAGAATAAGAAAAAAGGGGGGCGGGGGACCTGGAGAAAAGTATAGAATGTGTTTTCAGAAGACTCCATTTGATTCCCAGCACCTACATCAGGTGACTCACAACTGGGGATCTGATGCCCTCTTCTGGACTCCCAGGGACGCTGTGCTAATGTAAACACACTCTCCTCGTATATACACATAAATGTAAAATAATACAAACCAAAAAATAAATATTTTCTAAAAGCATAAGAAAAAGAAAAATACCATTTATACTGTACTTTTGTATTTCATCTTTGTTTATGTTTGTCTGAGGGATGAAGGAAAACAAATGTGGTATATTCATATAATGGAATCCTCTCTGGATGTTGGAAAGAGACTGTGAAACACCCTACAACATGGAGGAGTTTTCAGGACCTTGTTGAGGTACTGTCTCTCATCCACGGCAGCATATGCCAGGCTAGCTGGCCTAAGTGAGCGTCTGGAAAGCTCCATTTCCATGGCCTATCTTGCCTCAGGAGGGTTGGGATTGCAGATAAACGCACCAACACCATGCTGGCCTTTTTACAAGAAGAGTACTGAGGTCCTCACACTTGGAAGGCAAACACTTTACCCAACTGAGCCATCTCCCCAGACTGCTTTGTTTGCCACTGTTGCTTTACAAATGCTAACTAGGCCCTCTACCACTGAGCCCTTTTTAATTTTATTTCAAAAGAAATCCTGCTAAACTACTTGGATCTTAGGATCTTCTGCCTTAGCCTCCTTAGCAGTCAAGATTACAGGTTCATGCCACTATATATGCAGTGCTAGGAAAACAACAGAAAATATGGAAACGCTAAGCAGATAAGGAATAAGAATTTTATTTATTTGCTCAAAGAAGAAAACCTAAAACTACATTTGAATTACATGTGTTTTATACATATGTACTATACATACATATACTATACTTACCTGGGCTGAGAGTGTGCCTATGTAACTGTACAGCATGTAATTGTATGTAATTGTACAGCATGCACAAGGCCCTACGTTTAATTCTCAATGCACAAATATACAAACCTGTCATATTTTTGGATCCAGGATTCCTCTATATTTTTAAATCTATCCTGATCAAATTCCATTTCCCACTGCAAGGCATTTATTTCCTATAGAAAGAGAAATAGCACCTTCAAATAAAAAAGTAAACAAACAAAAAAAAGCATTTCATGGAAAATTACCAGTATGAATCATTTTAAGACACTGAATGAATGAAAGGCATTTAATCATAGAGCAATTAAAAGAGTAAGAACGCCACTCAGAAGAGTGTATGACATTTGTAAAATATGACATTTCTATATGCATGTTTTTTAAACGTCTGGGCTCAAATTTGGTTGTACCGAGCCCACATTTCTCAGGGCCCTCCTACTGCCCTTAGGCCCCAGAAACTAAATTTACTCCTGGGAGCCTTAGCCCAAATGGCCCCATCAAGGGCAAATTCATTGACATAAGAAAGGGACATCTACAATGATCCTAACTCCACTTATGGTGAGGTGTTCAGAAACAGGGACGAAAAAGAAGAAAAATGAGAAGTGCTAAGCTGGCAGACCTTCTGCTGCCATAAAAGAAAAATAAAGAGGCCATACTTTACCCCTGTGACAATCTGTTCTACAATGTAAGTATTCAAAGGGAAAACCATCAGAGACTGAATAACTCCTTGGGGGAGAGTTAGCCCAATGACACACCTAAGGAAATTATGTTGAAATACATGTTAACAATTGCAAATACCTTCTCCAAAGATCTCTTTTGTTCTATGGTTTTTTGAAGCACTGTCTGTGTGTGACTTGTGGCTTTGTCAAGCACTGCCTAAGGAAAAAAAAATAAAAATAGCATCAGTAAAATTAAGTTTTAAACATTCCTATCTGCATAACAGATGCATGTCGCACATATTTCTATATGCATGTTTTATTTTTTAAAGATTTATTTATTTTCAATACGTGTACTTCTGTCTGTGTGTCTATGTGTAGACGTGTGCATGTGTGTGCTGGTGCCTGAGGAGGCTTCTTAGAAGGGGGGTCGGATCTCCTGGAGCTGGGCTTTTATAGGCAGTTGTGAGCTGCCTGGCATAGGTGCTGGGAACCAAACTTGGGCCCTATGAAAAAGCAGTATGTGCTGTTGACTGCTGAGCCATCTCACCAGCCCAACATTCTAAGTTAAGATAAAAGAATATTCAAAAGATGAGACAGTCACATCAACAATTTTTTGTGAAGACAGAGTTTAAAATTCAGAAGATCTTTGTGTGGCTCTCCCTTCCTCCCAAATGTGATTGAATGAATGAAGTTTCTTGACAGGGAAATACGCACAGCAGTGTTATTCACCATAATCACAAAGAAATAAGAGGGATATATACCAGCTGGTGGGTGACAGATAAATAAAACATGTATGGCTATACAACAGATTACTAGCAATAAAAGGAAGAAAGTATTGCCAGGTGGTGGTGGCACACACCTTAAATCCCAACACTTGGAAGGCAGAGGCAGATGGATCTCTGAATCTGAGGCCAGCCCGGTCTACAGAACAAGTTATAGGACAGTCAGGGCTGTTACACAGAGAAACCCTGTCTCAATAAACTAAAAAGGAGAATGAGGAAGAAGAAGAGAAAAAATATATATATATATGCTATAAAATGCATGAACCTCAAAAGCATGCTAATTAAAAGATTACAGACACAAATTGGTTGTGTTTGTTTGAAACAGAGAAGGTGAAAAGACAAATCTGCTAAAAAGTGTATGGGTGGTTCATTTTTTTAAAGTTTTTTTAAAGATTTATATATTATGTGTACAGTGTTCTGCCTGCAGGTCAGAAGAGGGCACCAGATCTCACTACAGATGGTTGTGAGGCACCTTGTGGATACTGGGAATTGAACTCAGGACCTCTGGAAGAGCAGCCAGTGCTCTTAACCTCTGAGCCATCTCTCTAGCCCCCCACAAGATCCATTTTTTAAATATTGGAAATGCTCTAAAATTAGATCCTAGTGATAGCTGTGCAATGCAGAGGTTAGTAGAGGTTAGTAATAACTAACTATATACTTAAAGATCAGGAAATCATGCTATTAAAATATCTGTATCCCGACGGGCGTTGGTCGCGCACACCTTTAATCCCAGTATGGGAGGCAGAGGCAGGTGGATCTCTGTGAGTTCGAGGCCAGCCTGGTCTCCAGAGTGAGTTTCAGGACAGCCTCCAAAGCCATAGAGAAACCCTGTCTTGAAAACCCCCCCCAAAAAAAAAAAAAAAATCTGTGTCTCAAAAACCCAGCAATATTAAGAACTGACACTTTTATTTTTACAAGGTAACATCACGCAAATATAGACTTTTCATGTTGGTTTCTTTCACTAGTAATTCATATTTGGGTTTCGTGTGTGTGTGTGTGTGTGTGTGTGTGTGTGTGTGTGTGTGTGTGTTTAAAACAGGGTCGAAGGACATGGCCTAATTTGGTCTTGAACTCCTGATCCTCCTGCCACTGCCTCCTGAGTACAGAGATTATAATTCCACTTATTGCTGGAATGTGTTAAATGATGGAAATTTCAGAAATTAATTCTCACCATGCTCTGAAGGATTTTCAGTGCTTCCTCTTTCCCTTCAAGTTGTCTTTGAGATGCTTCAAGTTCAGTTTTTAAAATCTCTACTTCCTGAGGACAGAAATACAATAAGCCTTCCTGTTTTCAAGGCATGTAATCCCTGAACTGTCAACATGGCTAGGCCACGTTTACCCTTGAACCAGGTTGAGTTCCTACTGATGCTGCAGTGAACCAGGCAGGCTACAGCCCAGAGGCTCACTATCAAGCTCCAGTCTGAAGGGACAGCAGCCCACTCCAGCATGTGGCTGTGGCAGGCCTTGCCCTTCTCCCCGTTCCCTCTCTGCCTGGCTAAACGCTGTTATACTGAAAGACCCCCAGACCCCTAAGGGCCTCAGGATCCCGAGGAGTCCCCAAGACTCAGAAACCAGACCAAGAGCTGCAAAAGCAAGAGGGCTTATTGAAGGAATGCGCATTCGGGTGTCAGCAATATCGGGGAAGCGCACACACCAGCAAGGGTTACAGGCTCCTTATATAGGAAAAAACCACAGATCAGCATACAGGCAAGGGGTACAAAGTGATTGATTACAAAGTATGATCCCATGTTAGAGTGCTCACCCAGGTGTGACCTGCTTTTCTACAAAGGAAAAAACCATAGAATGTACCCTGGAAGGTCCTTGATTGTCTGTTGGCCAGCCAGGTGTGACCCAAAGAGGGTTGTCTTGGCGACTGCCGCCATCTAAACCATAGGATGTGCCCGGGGTTGGGGCCAACTTCCTTGTAATGGGCCAAGGCCTATGGGAAACTTTTTCTCTCTGTGAACTAAAATCTTTTAAAACTTTTTCTCTCAGCAAACTAAAATATTTCAATACCACATTCCTAAAGCTAGCCGCCAAGGTCTATTCCCTTAATTGGCCACTTCCTCCTCCAGTGGCTGACTACCAAGGTCCAGCTATCAAAGTATTGAAATCCAGCAATTAGAAGCCACCTTTGGTTCACCAATTAAAATTAAACACCTCATCCTAACACTGGGTTTCCCCCTTTACCATTATAAACTGACCTTTTCCTATGTGCCACATCTGTCTCCTCTCTATCCAGAGGCAGTCCTTTGTCCCTACTGGGATAAATACCCCTGCCCCCCTCCCCTTGCCCCGTCCTCCCTTATCCTCTATCCCCTTTACCACCAAATCCTAACCCATTCTAACGCAGACCTCCCCTTTTTCTCCTCTTTAAAAATTAAACTTGCCAGCCAGGCGGTAGTGGAGCACGTCTTTAATCCCAGCACTCAGGAGGCAGAGGCAGAGGCAGAGGCAGAGGCAGAGGCAGAGGCAGAGGCAGAGGCAGAGGCAGATGGATCTCTGTGAGTTCAAGGCCAGCCTGGTCTACGGAGCTAGTTCCAGGACAGCTAGAGCTGTTGTTACACAGAGAAACCCTGTCTCAAAAAACCGAAAACAAACAAACAAACAAAAAATTACGCCTGCAAGGTCATTTGCTGTTATTTTCTGCCTGAGTCAGAAAGCAGCCACTTTAATTTTTCTTCTCCAATTAATAAAGAATCTATGAAAACAGGTGTTTGGGTGTGGTTTGTGCCTCATCCAGGGTCTGGAAAGGGGCTCCTGCTGTGCAGGAGCCTGTCTCTAGCTTTTACCCACGTATGCACTCAGCTAATCATAAGGAAAAGAAAAATCTCAGTGTTGTTTTGCTTTACAAAGGGTCTCACATAGCTGTATTTTCAGCTGGGCGTGGTGGTGGATGCCTTTAATCCCAGCACTTGGGAGCCAGAGATAAGGCGTCTGCAGAGACACAGCATCTACAAGGAAGCAATACCAATTTTTCCCAGTAGTTTAAATAGGTTTAGAGAAGCCAGACAGAGAAGTGGTGGGCATGCTTAGCTGAGAGAACTTTTTTTTTTCTAAGAGACAAGAATCAGGGCCAGCAAGATGACCCAGCAGGTTAAGGAGCTTGCCACCAGAGTTTAATTCCTGGTGCCCAAAGAATGGAAGGAGAGAATCAACTCCATCAAGTCCATAGGTGTGCCATGGCACAGGCACCCAGAAAAAGAAAGAAAGAAAGAGAGAGAGAGAGAGAGAGAGAGAGAGAGAGAAATAAAGAAGATAGAATCAAGCTGGGCATTGGTGGTGCATGCCTTTAATCCCAGCACTCGGGAGGTAGAGGCAGGAGGATCTCTGTGAGTTCAAGACGAGCCTGGTCTCCAGAGCGAGTGCCAGGATAGGCTCCAAAGCTACACAGAGAAACCCTGTCTCAAAAAACAAAAAGAAGAAGAAGAAGAAGAAGAAGAAGAAGAAGAAGAAGAAGAAGAAGAAGAAGAAGAAGAAGATAGAATCAGAGCGAGAGAGAGAAAGAGAGAGAGAGGAGGCCTGATGAATAGTAGGAGCTCGAGAGATGAAGGGGAGAAGGGGGAAGTCTGGAGGAATGGATGGGGTACAGTGCTCACTTGGTATCATGTAGGACATACCTCTAAAGTTTCATGAAGACGTTGTCTTAATTGTTCATTTGACAATTCTGAGTTAGAATCTATTGGAGGAAAAATTGAATAGTTTTTTTAGTTAAATACTGGGCATTTAGCTGGCCGTGGAAGCATGCTCCTTAAATCCTAGCATTTGGGAGGCAGAGGCAGGTGGATCTCTGTGAGTTTGAGGTCAGTCTGGTTTACATAGTGAGTTCCAGGACAGTCAGGGCTAAGTAGAGAAACTGTCTCAAATGTCCTACCCCTCTGCAAAACACAGGGCATCTATATTACAAATATTAAATATGTATCTCCTCTAAATAGCAAAATGAAAAAATTATAAGGTAAAATGATAAAAATGATAAAATGATAAAATGATAAAAATGATAAAATGATAAAAATACAAACCCTAAGGCTGGAGAGAAGGCTCAGTAGTTAAGAGCACTGGCTGCTTTTCCAGAGGTCCTGAGTTCAATTCCCAGCAACCACATGGTGGCTCACAACCATCTCTAGTGGGATTTGATGGTCTCTTCTGGCATAAAGATGTACATACAGACAGAACATTCATATACATAAAATAAATAAATAAGCAAACAAACAAATCATTTAAAAAATGAACCCTAAAACATTCACAAACTAAAAGATGTGTGGTTTTGAAAAAAAAAAAAAAGCTTCTAAAGGATCGTGATACGAAGTTTATGTTAATGAACTGGCTGTTCATTAATACAAATGTGTAGAAAAACACACATTATTCTAGTTGAATAAATGGATTTAATGTTTAGCAATAATACCTAGGAACTAAACTTTAATTTCTTTCCAAGGACAATGACCAACTAGAGGTCTTCTGTAACTTTAATTACATATTTTGGTCATTATTATTTGTAGTGGAATATTAAAAGGGCGCTTGCACCTGGCATTTACTCTGGAGTGATGGCCACTTATCCTTGAAATAATCTCTTGTAAATAATCAGAGATTGTTACTGAGATTTGTGGGGTTGGTCTTTCTTGGGAATTTCAGAACTTTAGCATAACCTCAGTCATAAGACATTTCCGGCAAACCTGGAATTATGATTGTGTTTGCTTAGGTCATGGCTCCTTAAGGCAACTCTTTATTTGTCTAAGAGATTTTGGCATGCAGGAATCGACTTGTTAATAGGCCTTTTGTGTATCAATAAAAAGAGCTTCTAGGCGGTCACTCCATGGAGACCGATTCCCCGGCTGCTTTTGCTAAAGCTTATCATATCCTGCATTCTCTCTCTTCCACTGACCAGAGTAACTCAGAAAACAGACAAGTATTCCCAGAACCTAGATCTGCACTTGGCACCTAGCGGGCTAGACACCTGTTTGCTAATTGGGATGGGAGGGTGGGGGGCGGAGTATAAAACTGCGAAACAAAGAAGGGAATGGAGTTAAGTAGCTACCAGAGCCACAAATGCACGATATTAAGCAGACTACCGGTGACTGCTCATCACCGCTGCCGTTCTCACAAGTAAGACATGAACACCCCAAATTCCTTCAAGAGAATAAGATGCGGGCCAGTGAGGTGATTCAGCAAGTAAAGCCACCTGCTACCAGGCCCGAGGACCGGAGTTCCATCCCTGGGACCCACGTGGTGGAAAGGAAGAACTGGCTCCAAGTTGTGGCATACCTTGGCGAATGCTTGCACCAACCACCATAAATGAATAAATTTAATCTAAATAATCTTACAGAGATAAAGATGAAAATCTACAGCGGTTACTGATTTTCATGAGCTGGGAGAGTGAGAGAGCACTGATAATAGCCACAAAGGAAGGAAGCAGGGAGAGAAAGCCCAGTTCTTACTCGTGCTGCTCTGCCGTCTGTAGCTGGACGCTCCGCATCCGTGAGCGCACATGTCCTGTAAGCCCTTATTCCTGGAATACTGAAAAATGGTTTCGCTTCTTTCTTCTCCATTTCTTGGAAACAGAGGAGGGCTCAAGTTCTTTCCGGCTGACCTTTTCTTCGATGTAATTGAACACGAAACTTCATAAACACCACCAGGTCTTCTTCCGAGGCCACACCCTAGGTCACCTTCTGTCATGTCATCCTCCTCTGTTTCCCAAATATCTTCAGTCTCACTCGACGACCTCGTCGCTTTGCTCATTGGCCAAACGCTGTTTTTTTCATAGGGGAAAACAGGCTGTCTGCAGTTAGGGGCGGCAGTAATTAAAAAGCAGCAGATGCAGCAGTCCCTTCTCTTTTTTCCCCCCAAGAAGACATGAAAACATTTATGTCAAAGACATGCCTACACGTCCATGTTCACCGTCGCTAACAACTGTGAAGCTATGAATAAAGAAAATGTGTGTGCACTCACAGACAGAAATATCATTCAGCTCTTGAAAGAAACAAAGAAAGAAAGAAAGAAAGGAAAAGAAAGGAAGGAAGGAAGGAAGAAAGAAAGAAAGAAAGAAAGAAAGAAAGAAAGAAAGAAAGAAAGGCTGGAGAGATGGCTCAGAGGTTAGGAGCACTGGCTGCTCTTCCTAAGTTCAATTCCTAGCAACCACACGGTGGCTCACAACCGTCTGTAATGAGATCAGATGCTCTCTTCTAGCCTGCAGGCAGAACACTGTATACAAAATAAACTTATACATAACAAATAAATAAATCTTTAAAAAAAAAAAAGAAAAAAGAAAGGACTGGGCAGTGGTGGTGCATGCCTTTAACCCCAGCACTCAGGAGCAAAGGCAGGTGGATCCCTGTGAGTTCGAGGCTAGGCTGGTCTAGTACGTAAGTGAGTTCCAGGACAGCCAGGGCTACACAGAGAAACCGTATTACAAAAAACAAAAAAACAACGACAAAATAGGAAAGATGGGACTGAAGAGATGGCTCAGTAGTTAGTAGCACTTGATGTTTTTACAGAGAACAAGAATTCAATTCCCAGCACCCACATCAGACAGCCCACAACTGCCTGTACCTCCAGCTGCAGGGATCCTCTACCTGCTTTGGCCTCCAAGGGTACCTGTACACCAGTGGTATACATACAGACAAACAGCACACACATACACATAAATATAAATAAATTTAAAAAATAAAACAAAACCTAACACACAAATGTCCTTTGCAATCCTCATTAGAAGTATCTAACACCTCAGGTCTTTTTCCACAGGAAAGGGTCCCAGCTCTTACTTCAAAGACTGAGGTGAATTGTGGGAAGGCAGGAAAGTGGGAATGCAGTACCTTTTGATCAGGGTAGATGTGGTGGTTTGAGAGAAGATGGCCCCCAAAGGGAATGGCACTATTAAGAGATGTGGCTTGTTGGAGGAAGTGTGTCACTGTGGGGGCGGGCTCCGAGGTGTCTCTCTCAAGCTTCCCTCAGTGTGACAGCCAGTCAACTTCCTGTTGCCTGCAAGGTGTAGCACTCTCAGCTCCAGCACCACGTCTGCCTGCATGCTGCCATGTTCCCCTCCATGATCATAATGGGCTAAACCTCTGAAACTGTAAGCAAGCCACCCCAATGAAATGTTTTCTTTATGAGTTGCCATGGTAATGGTGTCTCTTCACAGCAATCAAAAAAAAAAAAAAAAAAACTAACTAAAACAGTATAGTAGACCAATTACTGACGAGACAGGAGACTTAAAAAATGCAAGCTTATAAATGAAACAGTTTGGTTGATACAGGGCTGAGAGTGGTACAAAATTCGGAAATATGTGCAAGAGACTTCCCATGACAAACACTGCTCCAGAAGGACTCCACCTCCTGCTTTTGTCCCTGCTGCTCCATCCCTTACTTCATGGGTTAAGGGGACCCTTAGCTCTCTGTGGCTCAGGGATGGTGAATAGGCAAAGGAAGGTGTCCCTTTCAGTATCCTCCCTTTCTGTTTTCAAATTACAGTGTCACAGTTGTGTTCAAAATCTCCCACTATTGTGTAACTCAAGTAAAATCCAAAGCCTTGCAATGGCCAAAGGTCCTGTATTCTATCCTCTTCTCATCCCCATGGTGGCCAACCTGGGCTCTCTGCTGCTCTGGTGTGGACCAGACATTCTGCACCCCAGAGCTCTGTGCTACCTGGGGTGTTCCTCCCCTAGACATCTATACACCTAGATCCTTAGCCTCTTTGGGTTATAACTTCAGTGCCTGTCACCTCTCAGTGAGCTTTCTTGGCATACTGTCTAAATGGAAAGTGTAGGGACAGGAGATACTGCTCACTGGTAGAACACTTGCCTAGCACGCATAAGGTCCTAGGTTCCATCCCCAGCACAGTAAACTAAAATAAATAAATAAAATTGCAAGCTTGTCTATCTGTGGTATCAAAGGCTTGTAACTTTAGCACTTAGAAGGTAGAGGCAGGCAGAAGCCAGTTTATCATCAGCCTGGACTACATAGAAGAGCCAGCCTTAAAATAATGGTGGCCAACACTTTTTTTCCCAGCACTTGGGAGGCAGAGGTAGGAGGATCTCTGAGTTCGAGGCCAGCCTGGTCTACAAAGCTAGTTCCAGGACAGCCAAGGCTGTTATACAGAGAAACCCTGTCTTTAAAAAACCTAAAAACCAAAGCAAAAACAAAATCAAAATAACATAAAATAGCCAGATATGGGTTGGAACCAGCAGAGATCTGCCTGCCGGTGCCTCCTGAATTCTGGGATGAAGGCATGTGCCATCAGCCCAGCTTCTCTCCCTGCTTCCAATTCCCTCCCTCCCTTAGCACTTAGAACTTCGGAACATATTCCTCCATATTTTACTCATTTCTCCAATTATACCACCAATCTGTCTGGTTGAGTTGGGGAGCTGAGTGAAGCAGGAGGTGACTCACTGCGTATGTGTTAGGCTACATCAGCCACCTGCACACTTTGCTTTGCCACAGCCAAGACCTGCTCATGCAGAACAGATAGGGCAAAAGATACCAAGTCCCGCCTGGTTCACCCCGGTACTCTAGAGCTTAATTCAGTTTCGGAAACATAACTGCTGCTCAATAGAGACTTATTCACTAACAAATGAAAAGGAGAGAACAAACACAACACTCGCCTTTTCTAGGACAAGGACGCACAACAGTCATGCTGGCAAGGCTACACACTGGGTACCATAGGACTTGCCCTCTTTTCCAGAAGAAAATGTATTCTAGAAACAGCATCCTAGAAGATGTACCACCCCTCTACCCCCTCCACCCCCAGTCCCTGGGGTCACTTACTTGGTTACACTCAGAGAGCAGCTGCTGCACAGACACTCAGCCCCCTCCCTTCAGGATGGAGTGCGGGGAACTCCGACTTTCAACACTGGGCATTTCAAAACGGTGGTTTTGCTGCAACTGTGTAGAAATGTTTTACCTTTTTATTTTTCCTTAACTATGAGTTTTAAAAAAATCTAGTGTCAAGCTTCAATTCAATGAGAAGAAAATATAATAATAACAACAATAAAAACAACCATAGTAACAAGCCTCAGGCGAGACTGGGAATATAAATATCCTGCTGCTTAGGCGATGGTTACCAGGACTTTCTCAGATACTGCACCAGTCTTGGGCTTCTTGCTGAGATTGCTATCTTATTTTTCACTATTGAAACCATGTTAAACTGGGTGGTGGTGACTCATGCTTTAAATCCCCATCACTCAGGAGGCATAGGTAGGCATATCTCTGTAAATTTGGGGCCAGCCTGGTTTATAGAGGGCATTCCAGGATAGCCAAGGCTACAGAGAGAAACCCTGTCTTGAAAAACAAAACAAAGAAACAAAACAAAACGAAAACTAGAAATAACCCATGTCCATCTCCAGAAATAACTTCAGCAATAAATTTAATCCAATAGCCAGGTATGGTGGGGCTCACTTGTATTCCCAGCATTCAGGAGTAGAAGCAGGAGAGTCATAAATTTCAAGACAGTTTAGACTACACTGCAAGCCTTTTTCTGAAAAGCAAACAGGAATAACAATAACAACAGCAAAGCGCAGCATATGGGGTCCACACTGAATCTTCTAAATTATAAGCTATTAGAATAATAGTTTCCTGGAATGGGAAGGTTGATCTCAAAGATCACTAGGAAGGTTTGGGATGGTTATGGAATAGTCCTTTTTTTTTGAGATAGTATCTCTGTTACATAACTCTGGCTGTTCTGGAACTCCTCACTATGTAGAACAGGCTGGCCTTGAACATACAGAGATTCCCCTGCCTCTGCCTCCCAAGTGCTGGGACTAAAGGTGTGCGCTACTATGCCCAGCCTGAATAGTCCTATATTTTAACCAGAGTGGTAATTTGTCAAAACTCAACAAATAATACACTTATTTTTGTACTTTTTAAAATTTATATACATTGGTGTGTTGCCTACATGTATTTATGTAAAAGTGTTGGATCCCCTAGAATTGGGCAGTTGTGAGCTATCATGTGGGTGCTGGGAATTGAACCCGGGTTCTCTAGAAGTATAGCCAGTGCTCTTAACCTCTGAGCCATCTCCCCAGCCCCCAAATTCTATACTCATAATGGCATGCTTTATTACACATACATTTTATTTAAGTAATATGCTAATATTTTAAAACACAAAACATACAAGAAAAATTGGACTAAGATATGAGATATGTATCGATTAGTTGGGCTCTCCCAGAAAAAAAAAAAAAAAAAAAAACTGGATCCACTCTAGATCCTCCTGCCTCAGCCTCCCAAATGCTGGGATTACTAATATAAGTCACCAGGTATGAAAACAATTTTTTTTTGTTTGTTTTTGTTTTTCGAGACAGGATTTCTCTATGTAGCTTTGGAGCCTATCCTGGCACTCGCTCTGGAGACCAGGCTCGCCTCGAACTCACAGACATGTCCCTGCCTCTGCCTCCCGAGTGCTGGGATTAAAGGCGTGCGCCACCAGCGCCTGGCTATGAAAACAATTTTTAAAAACAGGATGTTGCCAGGCAGTGGTGCACGCTTTTGATCCCAGCACTCAGGAAGCAGAGGCAGGCAGATCTTTGTGGGTTCAAGCCCAGCTTGGTCAACACAGAGTGAGTTCCAGGACAGCTGGAGCTGTTACACAGAGAAACTATGCCTTAAAAAAAAAAAAGAAAGAAAGAAAGAAAGTAAAACAAACAAGCAAACAAGCAAATGAAAACTAAAATGTCATCACAGCCAGCAGGGATGCTGGCCTTCTGTGGACTAAGGGCTGTCCTCAGACTGTTTGGTTCTCACAAACACCCTGGAGCAAGACAATGTTACTACGGTTTATAGCTGACACAGGGTGGAGATGGGTCTTTGGAGCCTCATGCCTGGTAACAAGTCTTCCACTGTTGAGTATCATGAGATTCACAGTATACACAGTTTCCAGAACTTGTAGAACCGAAAATAAAAATCTAAAGCAGTTAATTAGGGAAACACTGAACGCAGGTTACTAGCTTCATTCTTTTTCCATTTTTATAAAGGTATGGTTATTTCCTTTAAATAGGTCATCTGGGGGATGGGGACTGCCGCTCTGTCAGCACACTGCTTGCATAGCATGTAGAAGGCCCTGGGTTAGCCTCCTAGCAAGCACTCCTTGAAACTAGTGTGGTGGTACATGACACTCAAGAGGTAGAGGCAGGAGAATTAGACTTTTAAGGCAGAGCTGGGGAGATAGCTCAGTGGTTAAGAGCACTGATTGTTCTTCCAAGGGGCCTGGGTTCAATTCCCAGCACCCACATGACAGCTAGTAACTGTCTGTAACTCTAAAAGCTGACACCATCACACAGACATATATGCAAACAAAATAAAGACAAAGTATTTACAAAAGTTTAAGGTCACCCTCTGACACACACAAGTTGGAGGCCAGCTTGAGATACATGAAACCTTGCATGTTTTTGTCTTGTTTTAAATCTATTTTAACTTATTTGTCAAGGAAGACAAGGAATTATTTATTGAACCAAAGAATAATGTCTTGGGAGACTACATTTACCCCTACTATAAAGTGCTGCTTGATAAATGCAATCTTGGGTCTCACAAAGAATGAGGTTGGCTGATAGGACATTTGCCTAGAATATAAAAAGTCTTAGGTTCAATCCCCAGAGGAAAAAGAAGGGGTGTGTGGTCGGGTCTAGGTATACAGCAAGAAAGAAGATAGAACTGATCAACACAAGAGGAAAGGAAGTCTCGAGAGAGTAAATCGTAGATAACCTCAGAGTTAAACAAGGCTTTTTGTTTTGTTGTTTTGTTTTGTTTTCTGAGACAGGATCCTGTTAATACAGTCTAGACTGACTTCAGATTTACTGCGTGGTACAGACTACCTTCAAACTTGCAATTCTCCTGACTCTGCTTCCTGAGTGCTACATCAACACACCCAATATGCATCAACACATCCAGTTTAAGAATTTATTGTGATTTTTGTTTTCTGAAACATGTTCTAGATTTCTATACAGCCCAGGCTGACCTTGAATTTGTAGTCTTGTTACCTCTGTCTCTTGAGTGCTGGAATTGGAATCATTCACTGCCATATCGGGCAAGATTCTTTCCCTTTTAAGACAGAGTCTTCCTATGTAGCTCTGGCTGGCCTGGGCATTCACTATGTAACTCAGGTGGCCTTAACCTTCTGGCAAAACTCCTAGCTTTGCCTTGTGAGTTTGGGATTATAGTTGAGTACCACCATGCCCAGCTCAAGAACTTCTATTAATGTACCACGTATATTATACATGGTGAGTTGTCTTGCCACTCAGTGCTGAATATAATGAGTTTTCCTATCTGGTATGCTATTGTTTGGGTGGGGATTTTGTTTTGTTTTGATGAGGGGAATTGAACCCAAAGCCGTGTGCATGAAGGGCAAAGGCTTTGCCACTAGGCTACCTATATCCCTCTCTAATTCCCCCCCAAAACAAAACAAAATGCTAGGCAGGATTAGCTCTGGTCTTTCTGGAACTCACTCTGTGGACCAGGCTTCCCAAGTTCTGGAACTAAAGGTATGTGCCACCACCTCCTGGCTCTAATGTTTTGTTTTGTTTTTTTTCCAAATATAACTTTGATGGGTATTGGCTGTAGAGTATTCAAATGTGTTAGGAAAAAAAATCAAACTACTTTGGGGACACATTACTTCTAGGAATTATGTTGTGGAATAATCTTTTTGTGCACTGTGACAGATGTGTCTTTGCCAAGGTGCCTTCTGATTAGTTTAATAAAGAGCTGAATGGCCAACAGTTAGTTAGGCAGGACATCCGGGCAGAGAGAGAAAAGGGGGAGATGAATCTAGGCTTGGGAGAGACCCTAGAGGACATGGAAAGGAAGCAGGAGGTGCAAGATGGGAGATAGGTAAAAAACAACAAGGCAAAATGTGGATTAGTATAAATGGATTAAGTTAGAAGAGCTAGTAGGATAAGCCTCAGCTATAGGCCAGGCTTTCATAATAATAAGTCTCAGTGTCATTTTCGTGAGCTGGTATCCCAAAGAAAAATCCTTCTACAGAATTACAAGCTTTCTAGTGAGTTTACTATGTTTGACATTAATCGGGGAGGCAACAGGATGTGGACTAAAGTGCTGTCTCAGGAGTCTGGGGCTTGAATTCATAACTGCTGATCTCTGATCCTGATTGAGTCACTAACTCCAAAATGAGTCTAGGTGTAATGACTGGACAGGGTCATTTGGAGCACCATGGATATATCTGAGATCAGCTATAACAGTCAAATAAATAATTTGAATTTGAGTATTAAACCAACTTGTTGGTATATGACCAGGTATTCAAAAGGCTGAGAAAGGAGGACTGCTTAAGAGCATTTATTTGAGACTGAACTGGGCAATATAGTAAGATTGAATCCCCCTCCACAGGAAGGATTTTTGCACCAGTTTATCTACTTATTGAGTGAGGAGATTACATATAATTTTTTAAAATTTTTTTGAAAACAGGGTTTCTCTATGTAGCTTTGGCTGTCCTGGAACTTGATCTGTAGACCAGGCTGGCCTTGAATTCATAAAGATCTACCTGATGGGGTAAATCCTTCTGTATGCTGTGAATATATGTTTCTCTTATTGGTTGATAAACAAAGCTGTTTCAGCCAATGGACAGGCAGGATTTAGCCAGGTGGGAAATCCAAACAGGTAGTAGGTGGAGTAGGAGAGACACCATGTAGCTGCGAGAAAACAAGAGGCTCAGGCAACACCGGGAAACCAAGACCATGTGGAGATACACAGATTAATAAAAATGGGTTTATTTTTATAAGAAGCCTGATCCATAGGCCAAATAATTTATAATTAATATAAACCTCTGTGTGTTTATTTGGGACTAAATGGCTGCAGAACCAGGTAGGACAGAAACTTCATTCCACATCCACCTGCCTCTGCTTTCCAAGTGCTGGCTTTGATTTTTTTTTTTAATGAGTATTAAATTTCTGTATCACCATTTTGCAAAGTGTGTTCCATGGAACATTTCTTCATCCTATTAGTATTTCTAGAAGTAAAAGGTTTCTCTTGATTTCATTGAGAAATGTTTCCCTATTCCAAGCATACATGACTTGCCCAAATAACACAGGTAGGCAGTGGGTATAGCCAGAACTACAAAACTTATTGGGCTCCCTGTCAAGGTCTCTGGAAACAGCATGGATAGACTGCTAGCAATCTATTTTTCACTAAATACCTCTGAAAAGTAGTGACCTGCTAATTGCTAACTCCAAGATTTAGCCTCACCCCTGAGCCTCTCCAAGTCTGTAGGAGATATGACACTTTAGCTTCAAATCAGGTCCCTGGGACACCAGGGCAAGAAAGCAGCTCCTTCTCTTTTGTCACAGGGCCACCTATCTGCCTTCGAAGGCTCTTTTTTCTTCCTCTGGTTCCTTCTGCATAGTTTGCCTTCCCTTTTACCACTCTTAAACAAATATTTCCTGCTCAGTACTCGGCCTGCAGTTCCAACACAGCTCAAAGCAAGTTCATTACCTTCCCCACGCCCAATTCAGGTCTCTTCTGTAGTTCTCTGCTTTCTCAAATATGTCGACCATGTTTTAAACTCTGAAGTTAAAAACTTAGGAATATATTTTCCCTCTTTTTCTCTTTGATCCTCAAATGCCTTCAACTGTCAAGTTTTCAAGACTCACAAAGGTCTACCCAAATCATACCTTTTGCACTTTAATTTCGTGGTTGAGTATCTGATGACTTCTGGGCTAAACTGCTAAAGCCACATCGCTGCCCAGATCCAATGATGTGCCTTTCTTGCCCTAAGAAATTCCGTGGCTCCTACTGGTTTAAAGTGTGTGTCTCATTTGCTCACACCTAACAAATGCCCCCACGATATTTGTTGAAGAGAATTGAGAGAGGACAAATTCCAACGGGGAAAACGTAGGTCTACCCCCACTAGCCGGACAACCGCTTTAGCAAACAAGCTGATCAAACAGCTACCTACTTCCTGTCCTGCTTGGGAAAAAGCTAACTTAAGCCCTCCTTAGCGAGCCAAGGCCAACTTCACTTTGCTGTGCGGCTTTACATGCTAATTTTTAACTTTAGAATAACTTTAGATTTATAATACATTTTAAAGACTTAGACCTATACACCCTCCACTCAAATTCCTCTAAAGTTAGCACTGGGGTACATTTATCAAAAATTGAGACCAAAACACTGGTGCACTACCTAAACCACAGACTTCCGTGGATTTCCTGTTTTTCTCGAGGACTTTTGTTCTTTTTTGTTTCAGGATCAAAACCAGGATATTGCATAGCATTCGGTGTGTTGCAGCTCTATGGCTCAAAATATTTACCAAGAAGACACAGGGTTTTGAAATCGGTACTCTCCAGTTTCAGGCGAGGCCATTCATGGCTGGCTGTAGGGGAACAGGAGCCGGTTTGCTAATCTGACCACCACCTGCAGTTTCCACTACTGCGCAGCCGGGCTCCGGACCTTTCCCACCGCGGGTTCCCAGTGTCGTGGCCTGACAAGGACAATCTGCGCATTCGTCCCAAGGATCGAACCTACCGCTCCTTCAGGCTCACCCAACACCGCCGCGCGTCCTCAGGCCACGTGACTGCACGACCCCCCTCTGCTAGGGACCGGGAAGGGTTCCCAGGTCCAGGTGGACCAGCGGCGCGCCACTCCTCCTGAGCCCAGTGCCCGTGCCTCCGTGCAACCGGATGTTAGCTGCTCTCCTCCAGCTTCAGCTCCAAAGCCGGATGAGCAAATAAAAGCCTGAGATTTAGAGCCGACTAGGACGCGGGGAGCGTTAACACACGCAAACTTAAATGGTCCCAACCGTGGACTTTTGGAACCCCTAAGAGAAAAATGCGCCCGAGGTGAGCTTCCCCGGGAGAGGCAGACCTTGGGACGCAGACTTTCAGCAGTTAGAAACCCAGAAGGCACCTTGGGCCACTGGGAGTGCCGGAGCAAAGGCGCAGCGGGAGGGAGTGCCTGGCGAGCACTGGTGGCAAGAGCCCTGCTCATTTCCTGCCACAGGCACTTCCATCCAACGTGCTGGAACAACTTCTTACTTTGTTAAAGTGATCTTGTATTAACACTCTGCGTCTACACCTCGTTTTAACAACAGAAGGCTTTGCGGTTGTCAAACACTTCCCTAGGCTTAAAGATTACTATGGGTCAGAACTAGAGATCAGATCCTTCTCTTGCAGTAATAAACCTACTGCGGAAAACCCGACTTAGCTTCTGAACTTGGTTCCATTACCTGAATGAATTGGAACTAGTGGACTACTTCTAGGGGTGGCTGTGTGAATTCAGAGCCCCCCCCCCAAACTATGTTTATAAGACTGTCTGGCATAGTAATATATGTTGTCATTCAGGTGTTTGTGACAGTTAAATATCTGTAAATATATGTCCACCATAGAATTGATTTAACTCAAACTAAGAGATTAGGAGTTCTGAAACTTGGGGGGGGGGGAGGATAGACACCTGGTGTCAACACAAACACACATATACCTTCATTCATACATTCTGCAAATGCATATGCATGTATATCACACACACACACACACACACACACACACACACACACACACACAGTCTTTTAAGAAATGTGACACGCACACTTGATCTTTTGTGAGGTGCTGATGATTGTAGGTAGCGGTTGTGGTGGATTGGACGAGAATGGCCCCCATAAGTTCATACATGTATTTGAGTGCTTGGTTCCTAGTTGGTGGAACTACTAGGTTTGGGGAAGGGTTAGGAAATATGGCCTTGTTGGAGGTATGCCACTGGGGTTGGGCTTTAAGGTTTCAAAAGCCCAAACCAGGCCCTGCTTGTGGATCATATGTAAGCTCTCAGCCACTGCTCCAGTGCCATGCCTGCCTGCCAGCTACCATTCTCCCTGCCATGATGGTCATGCACTCATTCTCTGAAATTGTAAGCAAGCCTCCCAATCAAATGCTTTTATAAGTTGGCTTGGTCATGGTGTCTCTTTACAGCAATGGAACAGTGATAAAGACAGGCTTTGTACATCTAAACACACCATCACGGAGCCACACCCCCAAAACAACTGTACATTTAGGTCATCCAATTTTAAAACCTGAGTTTTAAGATGGTAAAATTTATCTGAAAAACAACGGAGAGGTCTGCATTTTCTTTTTGTTTTGCTTTTTGAGACAAGGTTTCTTTGTGTGGCTATTCTGTATCCAGTTCTATAGACCAGGCTGAGATTAAAGGTGTGCACCACTGCCTGATACAATCCTCATCTAAATTAAATAAAAAATACATAACAACGTACATGATGCATTATTTTGTGTGTGTACCTGCATGCGTGCGTGTGCACAAGGAGGGCAGAGGACAACCTTGAATATTCCTTAAACACCATAGCCTTTAACTCATGAAGTAGGCTAGCCTGGCCAGAGTATGTATGTGTGGGTGCCCTTGGGCACATACATGTGGAAGCCCAAACCTGTCTTCCTTGATCACTATTTTTTTTGAAGCAGTCTCTTGCTGAACCCAGAGCTAGCCAATTCCAGCTGTTCTAGTTAGCCAGCTTGCCCCAGGGACTGTCTCTGCCCCCAGTGCAGAACTCTTGTCCTTACGCTTGTGCAGTAAACACTTCATCCACTGAGCCACTTCCCCAGCCTTCCAATTGCTTAAGCCTGATGTCAAGTGCTTTTATTTATTTAGCCACCTCATCAGCCCCCTATAGCTTTGGTCTTACAAGACAGGGTTTCTCTGTGGCTTTGGAGGCTCTGTCCTGGAACTAGCTCTTGTAGACCAGGCTGGTCTCGAATTCACAGAGATCCACCTGCCTCTGCTTCTAGTTTTCCATTTTTAAGAGATAACCTATGCCAGGCAGTGGTGGCCCATGCCAGCCTGGTCTACAAGAGCTAGTTCCAGGACAGAGCCTCCAAAGCCATAGAGAAACCCTGTCTCGAAAAACAAAAATGATAACCTACATTTTAGTAAATTCAGAAGATATGTACCCATTGATCAGATTTATTATCTACTGAATTTGATGACAATTTTTAGGTTCAATCCTTAATAATTTATATTAGTATCTGAGATTGTTTAAGCTTTCTCATGGAGAAAAAGAAATCCAGGCAGCAGCTAGAGCTGCAACATAGTTTTCTTCTGCTGATCCTTGGGCATTTCTGTTACTCCCCCACCCTGCCCCCCATTGAGACAGTATCTTACTACAAAGCCCTGGCTGGTCTAGAACTCACTATGTAGACCAGCCTCTGCCTCCCAAGGGCTTGGATTAAAGGTGTGCACCACCATGCCTAGCTAGCCAGTCTCTAAATCAAGAGTTATGATCTTTGACCCATTGCTCAATCCATTTTGAGATTTGGTTGATGTTATCTTCTAGCTGTTCTGGTTCATTACTGGGCAGCTGATGCACAATTTCTTCTCTGTAAGATGCTCTGGCTTCTTCATAAAGAACTTGGAAAATCTCACACTGAATGTTGTCTTGTAGTTTCTTCTCATTATAACCCCTAGAAGGCAAAGAGGTGAAGCAAACAGAATGGCATTAAATATAGCTTTGGGAACAAGCTAGAAATGGGACTCTACGTGAATATATCAGAAATCACACAAGATAATCTTCATACTCTCTTGCCTAGAGAAAATAGACTAGCATCTATATAAGAGACTTCTTTGACACAAGGGCTAAACTAAGAATTATGAGACTAACATTTAGGCTTACCTGAATCCCTTGCTAGTTTATTAGTTGCTCAAATAATTACCAATCAGTTAACCAACAAACAAGTACCTACCTCAAGCTAGACTCTCAGCTAGGAGATAAATAAAAGTATCCATAGCAAGAATTTATGATAAGACAGATAGATGGTATACACAGAGGAAAACAAGGAATACCATTCATCAATTAGATAATTCATCATAAAAATGTTACCTGTATTTTACTAATCCAAAAGATAATAAAAGTAACTTATATGATATTTAGGCAGCATGTAAACTAACCAACTAAATATCCAGTTAAAAAAGCTAAGGGACCAGGGAACCATTACATGGTATCCATGCCCTCTATTGCCAAAAAGCCAACAAGGTCATTTGGAGCCTTTGATATCAATATGTCAACTTGATGATGGCAGTTGAGAAGAACTAGCCCAACTCCATTTGGCACCTATAGCTAAATTAAGTTTTTGTTTACTGTAAAAGTTGAGTTTCTGTTTCTCAGAGCTGAGGTGTACCCCACCCCCTAATCAAAACTTCTGTAACAAATGCTCCAAGATTTCCTTAGCTGCTTTGTAAAATCCTAATTGCTTGGTCTGGCTTCTGTAACCACACTTGCTTGGGGGGAAATATTACCCACCTTTGCCTTACAAAAGGGGTATGGGAAATTGACATGAGGCTGGTCTCAGGAACCCTGCCTTGATGTGTACATGAATAAAGCTTGCTTTAATTTGGCCATAATTTGCATCAGAAGGCTTTGTACACGGAAGGGATATGATGCTGGAGATGATGTGATACACATGTGACTTTCTGAAGCCATTCATTTGTAAACCAACTCTGATTACTCAGCTGGAACAAACGAAAAGAGTCAGGATTCTACCAGTACAAGAGAACCTTCAGCAGCATAGGCTGGAAAGCAGAGTTCACAGGGTCCATCTCAAAACTAAGAAAATACAGGCTGGAGAGATGCTCAGTGGTCAAAAGCACTTGTTGCTCTTTCAGAGGACACAGGTTCAGAGGTCTGACCTCTATGCTCCTTCATAAACTTGGTGCATATACACACACACAAAATAAACTATTAAAAATAAAGCCAAACATACTAACCAGTTTTTAACATAGTATTTCACATCTTAGTCTTTGGTGATTTACATAAAACTGGTTTGTAAGGTAAAATTTAAATTGTCTTGACTGACAAATGGCACATGTACCAAATGGCCTCTATTAGTTCTCTTTGCACAATTGTTTTCTCTTGAACCTGGGATCTTGCACTTGCTTTTACACATGCTCTACCACTAAGCTACATGGCTGGCTCCTTTCCTTGAACATCTTTTAAAGTCTTAATTACATATAATGTAATGGGTTCCATTATGAAATTTTCTCATTTATCAAGCATTTGCCCAAGCTGAATTCCATTATTGTCACTGTTACATCCTCTTCACTTTCATGTTTTTTTTTGTTAGCTTTTTTGAGACAGGATCTCTATATAGCACTGGCTGTCCTGTTACTCTGTAGACCATGCTGGACTCTCAGAGATCCACCTGCTTCTGCCTCCCGAGTGCTGGGATGAAAGGCAAGCACCATGACACCTGGCTCACTTCCACATCTTACATCTATTTTTCTTTGCTCAGAAGTTTATAATGGCTTTTCACTATTTAAAGAACAAAGATGTAAGTTTAGATCTAGCTCAGCCTAATTTGTCATATATTTGCAGCTTGCCCTCTGTGCTGCAAGGATTTCACACACATCCCAACCAGTGGCCAATCAGAGCTGACCATTCTGACCCTAGGTTTGACAAAATTCTGGAGCTTTTCTTTCTGATACTGTTTTCTAACTCCCTTTATACTCTCTACCAGCCTACAGTCTGGATTAAAAGATAACAGAAAAAAGTTCTCTCCCCAAGTTCCATTTTCTGGCTAAATCTATATGGGTGGGCCCAAAATATACTTTATTTATTTAAAATCATTCATTTATTTTCTTGGACATTTACTTATTATGTAAATAGTATTCTGCCTGCATGTATGCCTGCAGGCCAGAGGAGGGCACAAGATCTCATTACAGATGGTTGTGAGCCACCATGTGGTTGCTGGGAATTGAACTCAGGACCTTTGGAAGAGCAGGCAGTGCTCTTGACCACTGAGCCATCTCTCCAGCCCCTATGTGAGGGTTTCTATATGGTATATTCTACTAAATCAAGTTTTCAGTTGAAGCAGGGTGGTGGTTGTGCACGCCTTTAATCCTGTTGCTCGGGAGGCAGACCAGGCAGATCTCTGAGTTCGAGGCCAGCTTGGTCCACAGAGTGAGTTCCAGGACTGCCAGGGCTACAGAGAGAAACCCTGCCTTGAAAACAAAAACAAAAACAAAAACAAAAAAGAAAAAAAATTCAGTTGAGACATTCTGTCACTCAGAATATCTTACCTGTGTTTTACAACTGTCTCTGGTTCAGAATAACCAACATATAGATTTGCTTTATAGAGAACAAATAAAGCAGCTACTTTTCAAATAGAAAGTCTTCTCACCGTATCAGTCAACCTCATGAATCTGAATAAAAGTTTATTTGCTTTAGTAACAAAATCAGAATCCCAGCATTTGGGAGGCAGAGGCAGGGAGGCCAGCCTGCCCTACAAAGTGGATAGCCAGGGCCATTACACAGAGAAATCCTGTCTCAAAAAAAAGAAAACAAAACCAATCTTTTTTATTTTCCTTACCTTGTTTCCAGTCTTTTGTACAGTATACTATTATCTGTTCTCAACACAAAAACTATATGAAACCAGCGTTCAGGAAAGAAATCACAACCATGGTAATCAACAATAACACCACCTTCTCTCATCTCATTCTCTAACTCATCAACGACCTGTAATAAACACACAACAAATAAAAAAGATGAGTGATCCAAAGAAAACGGAAATTAACTTTGCCAAGTCCAACAAATGCATACTCCTCTGTTCAGCCATACTTACTCTGTCTTCATCTAAAATGGGACAACCGTATTCTTCATCATAGCCATCATATAACTGCCCTAGAAGAGATTTACATTAACCTGTTAATACGTCCTGAGTAGATTTCACTGATTTTCAATTAATCCTAGATTTGAGGAAACACATCAGTGATTCTTTTAGGTGCAAGAAAGGGCACTGATACAACAGCTGAGACATGTACACTAGCTAAGACATGGTCAGCAGATATAAAACGCATGCTGAAAAATTGGAATCTTATCTAGAAGGAAACCTGGGTGGCAACACATCTTAAACTTACTTTGTTTGTTTTGTGCTCTTGAGTCAGAGTCTCACCTGCAGCCCAAACTAGCCTCAAACTAGGAACCCTCGGATTTCCAGCTCTAGGATTTTTCTTAATAAAAGATCTGCTTTTTATAACTCCTCCCGTCCAAGAAAGAGTCTCGCTATGTAAGAAATCCATTGGACTTCTGCCTTACAAAAGTTGGGATTAAAGGCCTGAACACCTGGCTAAAAGATTTATTACTAATTATGTGTATGTCTGTGTCTAGTTAGTGCACTCGAGTGTGGGTGCCTGCAAAGGCCAGAGCTACTGGATCTCCACAGAATTGGAGTCACAGATGATTGTGAGCCATCCACTGTGGTTCAGGGAACTGAACTTGGGTTCTCTGCAAAAGCCGTGGGCATTCTCAATGTCTAGATCATCTTTCTAGCCTTTATCTGAAAATTTTAAACATCAAAGTTGAAATAACTTTAAAGAGGGGAAGGGGACAGCCAATACCAGAGTTTGTGAGGCTATTAGTGGAAGAAAATAACTTTTTTTTTTTTTGGTTATTGATTGGTAGGAAAAGATAATGCATGAACAGCAAATATAAACACTCTCATACACAGTAAGATTGGGCTCTAATTCCAGCATGCTGGAGGCAGAAGCAGGCAGATCTCTGTGAGTTCAAGGCCAGCCTAGTCTACAGAGTGAGTTCTAGAACAGCCAGGACTACAGGACTACATAGAGACCCTGTCTCAAAACAAAACAAAAACAACAATCACAACGACAAAAAAAAAAAAAAAATCAAGATTGGGATCCAGATTAAGGTTAAGAAGGCCTGGTCTACAAAGCAAGTTCCAGGACAGCTGTCTCAAACAAAACAAAACAAAACAAAAAAAAGAAAGAAAAAGAATATAAAATTATTCCAAGCAAGCTCAGGTTCTTGCTTCTGGAAGTGAATCCCCTTCCCTGACCTCACACTTTTGTAAGGACTGAGGAAGAGGAGTCAGTTTCTTCATTCCTCAGAATCTCCAAAAGCCATTCCTTTCAAAAGCTAGACGGTCTTGGACCTGTGGCTGTAGCTCAGTAGTAGAACACTTGCTTAACATTCATAAGGCCCTGGGTTCAACCTCAAATACTCAAGTGAAAGAAAAAGTTAAATAATTTTATTTTAAAAGGCAGAGGCTAGCCAGGCGTTAGTGGAGCACACCTTTAATCCTAGCATTCGGGAGGCAGAGGCAGGTGGATGTCTGTGAGTTCGAGGCCAGCCTGGTCTACAAGAGCTAGTTCCAGGACAGCCTCCAAAGCCACAGAGAAACCCTGTCTTAAAACACCAAAACCAAAACCAAAACCAAACAAAAGGCAGAGGCTTCAGAGATGACTCACTCATCAATTAAAAGCACTTGTTGCTCTTTCAAAGGACCTGGGTTCAGTTCCCAGAGCTCACATGGTGACTCACAACTCTCTGTATCTCCAGTTCCAAGGGGTCTAACACCCTCTTCTGGTCTCTGTGGGCACCATGGTAAATACACACACATGCAGGCAAAAAACTTATATACATAAAACTGTAAAGAAAAAAAGGAAAAAAAAAAAAAAAAGATAGAATAACTTGCCTATTGTTCAGGAAGCTCGGGGTCTGATTGCCAGCACTAAATAAACCAGGCACGGAATCACATACCTAGAAACCCAAGCACTCAGGATAACCAGGAGTTCAATGTCATTCTCGGCTACACAGCAAGTTATAGGTCAGCCTGGGACAGAAGAGACCCAGTCTCAAAGCAAAAACAACCAAAACAATAGGCAAAATTACAGAAAAGACAAATTAATGGTAGAATGCTCACCTAACATGCATGGCCCTGTGTTTGGTTCATACCACTGAATTAAAAGAAAAAGGTAGGGAATTTAAATTTAACATTAGAAGTTTCAACAATTTACAGATGGTTAAGAGAAGTTTTCTTTTCTTTTTTGGTTTTTCCAAACAAGGTTTCTCTGTGTAACAACTCTGGCTGTCCTGGAACTCTGTAGAACAGGCTGGCTCGCACTTAGAGATCCACCTGCCTCTGCCTCCCAAGTGCTGGGATTAAAGGTGTACAACACCATGTCCCGATTGAGAATTTTTCTTTTAGAAGATAAGAAAGACAATCTCACCCTCACTATGATCTAGACTTAGCCATACTTTGGGCCACTATAAGCACTTTACATAGTTGATTTCTTTCGATACATGGTTTCTTTGTGTAGCTTTTGAGCCTATTCTGGAACTCGCTCTGTAGACCAGGTTGTCCTCAAACTCATAGAGATTGCCTGCCTCTGCCTCCCAAGTGCTAGGATTAAAGGCGTGCACACCCACCATCCGGCTCATAGTTGATTTCTTATGTATTTCATCTTATATTTTGTTATAGGTTGAAAGTAAGTGAAATGAGCTCTCTTCACCGGTGTGACTTGTCTTTGTGAAACGAATGCTCAGTCAGCATGGATACTGTCAGCCTAAGAAACTAAACTGCCTTCATGTGGCAAAGACTCGATAAAGGGCACTGCTGTTTCCTTGCCAAATATGAACTCATAAACCAATACCAGGTGCTGTAAGCTTAAAATAACAAAAACAGCTGTGAAAGGCAGGGCATCCTTGACCACAGACACAAGCATCCAAGGTCACCGACTGCAACAGCAAAGGGATGTAGTACTTAGGAGCTACTTAATCCCTGCTCCATATGCAGTGGTTAACTTTCTCACTGCTGTTCGAGTCATGCTTTCAGATGTCAGCCCTCATGGCAGAGAAGGTATGACAGAGCTGCTCCAGTCTGAGGTGGGAGGAAGCTGCAGCTGCTACTATTTCACATGGTGACCAAACCAGGAAGTTGAGGGGAGACAAAAAACATCAAGGACAGCCCCCAGCACCTCTGCCAGCCAGCCTGTAAGTCCTACAAGTTTCACAAACTCCCAGGGTCACCATCTGGGGACATGAGCCCATGGGGCTGAAGAGAAGGCATGTACTCCTCTTGGACAGGACCAGAATTGTTCCCAGCACCCAAATGGGGCAGCTACCAACTGCCTATAATGCCAACGTCAGGGGATCTAATACCTCTGGCCTCTGTGGGTACCTGCATTCACATGTACATACACATAAAATGATAAAAAATACATTTTTATTACTAATTTTGATCTAAAACAATGGGGTATGGTGACACACACCTTCAATTCCAGCACCCAGGAGGCAGAGACAAGTGGCTCTGAGTTTGAAGTCAACCTGGTCTATTAGCAATTCTAGGCAAGCCAGGGTTACATAGTGAGACCCTGTCTCAAAAAAATGTACTAATATGTGAGCCTTTGGGGGACATTTCAGACTCAAACTAGAACAAATGGAATTTAAGAGGCATTGTGAGTAGTTGGGCAGGAATTAACTATGCTTTGCATCATCTGTAAGCGCACAAAGATGGTAGATAGTATTGGCCTAGTTCCCTCTCATTTGTATTTTCCTTACTTGAAGCTAACATTCTCAGCTAGAATAATGACATCACTAGTCGATTTCTCCTGCTTATACCCTGACATACTTTTTCATCTTGTTCATATTTGTTTTGCATGGAGACACTGAGCTCTTGGTAAGAGTGGACAGTTACCCAAGAGAATTCAGGGTAATGTTCTTCAGGGTCTCTCAAGCCTCTTGCCTATTATCCAAATTAATCACATTCACTAATTAATAAATTAATCACCAGTCACTCTTCCATCCCATGTGGTATAGAAGCAATGCTGTTTCATATTTGTTGTTTTTCATTTTTACCTCATTAGTTTTCTGCTATGGCACAAAGCAAACAGCACTCAGAATTGGCAGGGTCAGACACAGCATATTTTTCTAGGATTTGAGTTGTATAACTTTGGGACTTGTAACAAGTAAGACAAGTTTGATAAGCAGAAATCTGATCTACCTATTGACTTTATCTCTATCCAATAGCCTTTCCTGGCCTCCATGGCACCAGGAATGCACAATGGTGCAGACTTTATATACAGGGAAAACACCCAGACACATATTTTTTTAAAAAAATTATATGCTTGGCTGGGCGGTGGTGGTGCATGCCTTTAATCCCAGCACTAGGGAGGCAGAGGCAGGTGAGGCCAGCCTGGTCTACAAATTGAATTCCAGAACAGCGAAAGCTACATAGAGAAACCTTGTCTTGACAACCCCCATTTATATCTAAATATCTGTATATATCTACCTCTATCTATCTATCTATCTATCTATATCTATCTATCTATCTATCATTTGCACATATATGCTAAAATAGATATATGTAGGAAAATATCTTTCAGAATTAGAAACCTTACTGCTTACTGTGATTTTTTTAAAAAAGATTTATTCAGTGTGGTATGTATACTTTGCCTGCATGTATGTCTGTGAACCACATGCACCCCTGGTGCTCAGAGAGAGTGATGGATCCCCTGGAAGTGGAGTTATACTTCTGAGCCAGGTGTGGGTGCTGGGAATCAAACCTGGGTCCCTGGAAAATCAGTCAGTACTGATGACTGCTAAGCAATCCCTCCAGCCTCCTTTGATGTAGAAATGAAGATTTTAATCTTTTTTTTATTATCGTGTATATGGTATGTGTAGAATATATAAGGAATCAAAGCAAATGTGAGTCTTCACACATGTGATTTTACCTGCTGAGCCACCTCATTGGCCTCCAAAATGAAAGGTATATGTGTGTGCATGGTTTTTCTTTTTCTTTTTTCCCCCCAAGACAGGGTTTTTCTGTGTAGCCCTGCTGTCCTGGAACAACTCTGTAAACCAAGTTGACCTCAAACTCACAGAGATCTGCCTATCTCTGCCTATAGAGGGTTGGGATTAAAGGTGTGTGCCACCATCGCCTGCCTACTCCTCATCCTTTTCTAAAATCAATGAATGGTATTCAAGAGAAGTGAGAGATATTAGAGACCTAGAAGATTTCTACATGAGATTATTCCAAACAGAACAAAACAGGCCAGAGAAATGGCTCAACAAGTAAAGGACTTTACCATCTGAGTTTGATCCCCAGGGCCCACATGGTAAAACTGACTCCTGCAAGTTGTCCTTTGACCTCCACATGTGGCAAACTCACACCAATATAAATATACAAAGTAACGTTAAAAAAAAAATTCTAGGCACAGTACCAATGGCCAGGGAGATGGGAAAGGAGTACTATATAGATCCCCCTCAATCCCCCCAACCCACCCAGAGAAACTGTCATAAGACTAAAAGAACAGGGCAGAGAATGTACATGTGTATGTGTGGCAAGTAAGAACCAGGAGGTGGTAAGAAGGATAATTTCAGGGCTTGCTCTTTAAATATGCTAATTTGGAGATGCTGTGTTTAAGAAGATTAGAAAGGTATAATAGGTGTCTAGTATTCCTTAGCTTAGGGAACTACATAACAGAAGCTTGCCAACTCCTGAGTTAAGAGACAAACCAAGGAGCTGGAGAGATGGATCAAAGGTTAATAGCACTGACTGCTCTTCCAGCAGGACCTGGGTTCAAATCCCAGCATCCAAATGGCAGTTTAAAACTGTAACTCAGCCGGGTGTTGGTGGCGCACGCCTTTAATCCCAGCAAAAAAAACTCTGGAGGCAAAGGCAGGTGGATCTCTGTGAGTTCGAGGCCAGCCTGGTCTACAGAGTGAGTTTCAGGACAGCCTCCAAAGCCAAAGAGAAACCCTGTCTCGAAAAACCAAAAATAAATAAAAATAAATAGAACTAACTCTGGTTCCAGGGGACCTGACACCTTCATACCAATGCATATAAAATAAAGTCTTTTTTTTTTTTTTTTTCTTCAAGACAGGATTTCTGTGTAGGCTTGGCTGTGCTGGAACTTACTTTGTAGACCAGACTGGCCTTGAACTTAAGAGATCTACCTGCCTCTGCCTCCCAAGTGCTGGGATTAAAGATGTGAGCCACCACTGCCCAGAAAAATAAAGTTAAATAAATTATTAGAGAGAGAGAGAGTGAGAGAGTGAGAGAGAGAGAGAGAGAGAGAGAGAGAGAGAGAGAGAGAGAGAGAAGCCAAGATTTATAGAGCAAGTAGCTCTGTGGTACAGTGCATGAGTAGCATTATGTAAGGACATGTTCTATCTGAAATGAATTCAATGCCCTGTGTTATTTTACCAGTCCCAGACCTATGTGTACCCTGGAGTTACCTTCATCAGACTAAAAGCTAACAAACTGGAGGTAGGAAAATTAAGGATGCTAATAGCATCCTTAGCATATACAATAAGACAATTGTATATGAGAAAGAACGTCAAGGGGAAGAGTAATCCCAGGGAACACAGGATAATACAGGCATTCTTACACACCCATGCTACTGAGAAGCTCAGTCAGGTTAGGGCTAATTTTTAAACTTTAGGAAATGAGGCAGGAACACTGAACCATACTCCGGGAATCCAGTAGAGAGGGAGAGGTGATGAGCAAAGCAGTCAAGACCTTGCTGGAGAAACCTACAGAACCAGCTGACCTGACCTAGTAAGAGCACACCGACCCCAGTCATAAAGCTGGGGAACCAGTATTGGACAGAAACAAACCCTCTGGGTGCTAGTTAGGAGGCCTGGGCAGTCTATGGGACCTTTAACAGTGGAACCAGTATTTATTCTTAGTGTATAAATGGACTTTGGGAGCCCATTCCCCCTGGAGGGATACTACTGCAGCCCAGACACACGGAGGGCCTGTGTGACAGACTTTGATGATTCTCCCATGGAAGGCCTCACTATCCTTGAGTGGGTGGGGTAGGTTAGGGGAGTCAGTGGGGGGACATGAGAGGATGGGGAACAGGAACAGGGGGATTGATATGTAAAATAAGATAGTTTCTAAACAAAAAATTATAAAAAGAAAAAAAAAGAAACAGAAAAAAAAAGTGAGGCAGGGGTCTAGAGATGGATCAGTGGCTAAGAGTACTGGCTACTCTTCCAGAAGACCTGGGTCCAATTCCCAGCACCCATCCGTGTCTTACAGCCATCTGTGACTCCAGTCCCAGGATATTTGAAGCTCTCTTCAGGCCTCCATGGGCACCAGGCACATGCGTGGTGCAATTACATACAGGCAAAACACCCATATACACAAAAACTCAGGGGTAAAAAGTGAGGTGGAAACAGAAATATCAGGAGTCTTAAGTATAACCAAATAGGGCCAAAAGGAATACTATGAGAAAAAAGAGAAAAAAAAATACTGAGAAATTGGGTCACTGAGGAAGTTAATTGTATGAAGAAATCTTGGCTGGGCGGTGGTGGCACACGCCTTTAGTCCCAGCACTCGGGAGGCAGAGGCAGGCGGATCTCTGTGAGTTCGAGACCAGCCTGGTCTATAAGAGCTAGTTCCAGGACAGCCTCCAAAGCCAGAGAACCCTGTCTTGAAAAACCATAAACAAACAAACAAAAAAGAAAAGAAAGAAATCTTGACCAAGAAGTCTCTCCAAGTAGGTGTCATGGTTACATAAATTGGAGAAAATACTTAAGAGTGATTTACAAATAATAGAGACTCTAAAGTATCAGGCAGGGTACAATGGTGCACACCTTTAATCCCAGCACTTGGGAGGTAGAGGCAGGAAGAACCCTGTAAATTCAAGGCCAGCTGGTCAGCATAGTTCCAGGAATTTATAGGTCCCCTCATCCTCACCACCAGGTGAGCGCTACTCCACTGTCTCAGTAAGCAGCAAGGGCCAGGGCCAGTTCTGCTCTCATACCCTCATGGCCAGCTGGCACTACAGAGGGAGACCCTGCCTCAAAACAAATAATTAAAACATCAGAAGACATTAGAGGTAGGTAGCACAGTAGATGTAATAACAAACGTTGTAACAACTTCCAACATGAGGGAGAAATTGCTTTTGAAAACACAACTGCCAAAGTACCAAGAACCAAACCGACAAATGACAATTTTATTTTTATGCATAAAGGTAGATGAAAAACCATTACTACTTCTACTAAAACTGAACATTTCAATGGAAAAGCATATTATGTATACTTCTTAAATACCATTTTCTAAAATACAGCTTTAAAACATCTAACATGCTTGTTTAATCTCAGTACAATGGATTCAAGACCAAGTATACATGTTACAAGCATCCAGGCTGGATTACAAATTATCATAGTCATCATCATCATCATCATCGTCATCATCATCATCATCTTCACGTTTTCTTTTCAGGGCATTTGCTGACTCATTGGCTGTATTTTGGGATACCATATTAGTAGTAATAAGAATGTTTTTGGACCCAATTAGTGATGGATTAATCAGAACATTCTGAACTGCTGATGTTGCGGGAATTGAAGCTTTCACAGCAGGGGACTGAGAAGCAGGCATCTGTACTGTAAACCTTTGTCCTGTGAGGGACATTGGAGTGCCTACTTTAGTTGAGACAGACATGGTTTGTGGAGTTGGTGTGCCTAGTGTGGGAGTACTTGGTCTGCTAGAAACTGAACCAACACTTAACCGGGGAACTGTTATTCTTCCTGCAGGAGTAGATGCCTTTTTTTGCAAAGACTTAAGCCTATAGTTTGGAGCAGTTAAACAGTACCTATCAGGTGGCAATCTAGGACCTGAGTATGGCTTGATCAATGGCAAAGGGGTTTGATTTCTTTGTCTTGCAATATCTAATAAAAAATCTCTTGGGGGAGGAGAAGTGAAAGACTGGTCCGCACGGCACTGAATTGCCAATCGCACATCATCTGCATCAACAGTAGCTTTCTTAGCATGGCTTGAATAAATTTTAGCATCATCTAGAATTGTGGTCACATATCGGAAGGCAAACTCCAACATCTGATTTATAACTCTCGGCTCATATTCTGTAATCCCCATATCCTTCAGGATTTGTGCCATCATCTGTGCATCTTTCGGCATGCTCTTGGGAGAAGCCATCTTGCCAGACTCCATGATATCCGGTGATCAGACTTTAGGTCATTTAAAAAAAATATGGAAATTAGATCAAACCGAAATAGTTACTTTAGTAGCAACTGTTAGGAATTCAAAATTTTCAAAAATATATTTAAAATGTAAAACACCAATCTTTTTACTTTAAGTACACTTAAACTTCCCTTTGCTTAAAAATACTGAGTACCTTCTCTAAATGTGGAATATAAAAAGATGACACAAAAAGGTAAGTAATAAAAGATTAGGGGAAAATTAGGCATCGAGCCTGGGCATGCAACTATCAAAAGTTAAAGTGATTGATAAAAATAACATAATATAGTGATATCCTACTGCTTGAGTTCACAATAATCTGTCTTCCTGAGATCAATATACTGTCTGACACCTATGTTTAAAAATCACCCACAGTTTCCTTCTTCTTCATATTCAGATCTTCTCTTCACAGAAGTTGTCCCAATTACTATTATTTACAAACATTGCTGGTTATTTTGGGTTAGGGAAGGGGAAATGTCCAAAATAACTATGTAACTGTACTAGGCATGTAGTGCTTTCATTTCTTATGTCCCTACAGGATGTAAATTGCTTACTACCAGTGTCTTTCTACTTTCTGGATCCTCTAGCAACACTTAGCTAACTTAGTGCTAACACTCAACTACCTGACTTAAAAAAAGAATCCAACATCAAAGAGTCCCTTACCTTCTTGAGCTAAATCACCCACATTAACGTACTTCAGTCCTGATCTTGATGCAAGTTCTTTGCCTAGTGTGGTTTTTCCAACCCCTGGTGTACCTGTAAAAGAAGCCACAGAAAAATACTGTTCAAATACTACTTATTAGATATCAGCCATCGTATGCCCTGAAGATTCTAAAATGGCACAAAAATTCTCTTAATTAGCAATCATATATGTATATATACCATGATCTCATAAAAATTCCCCAGAAAGCCTGGCACAGTGTTGCTATGCCTTTAATCCCAGCACTCAGGGGGCATAGGCAGATGAATCTCTGAGACCAGCCTGGCTATACAGTGAGTTTCAGGACAGCCAAGGATACAGAGAAAGACCTTGTCTCAAAACCAAACCACTGGGCGTTGGTGGCACACGCCTTTAATCCCAGCACTCAGGAGGTAGAGGCAGGCAGATCTCTGTGAGTTCGAGGCCAGCCTGGTCTCCAGAGCGAGTGCCAGGATAGGCTTCAAAGCTACACAGAGGAAACCCTGTCTCGAAAAACAAAAACAAAACAAAACAAAAAAAACACACAAAATTTTCCAGAAATGACTAGGTGTCAGTCTCTGTATCCTAACTTCCAGGAGCAGAACTCCAGCAATTCTGATGGCAATTCTGCCTGTTAACAACATGCAACTTGCCAGCATAAAATTAGGCAACTCAAATAAACTACCATCATTTATTGCTTTAATAGGAAAAATTTAATATGAGGCAACTCATTACTACTACTTACCCCCAACTCTAACAACTTCCCCAGAGGAAACTATTATGAACCAGTTTCTCACTTAACTTTCTCTGTGTTTGTGTATATCTAAGGGATATAATGTACTACTTGGTATATACTTAACTATGTATATACACACATTGTCCATATCCACACATACAGCACTGACAACCTATACATTGTCCTTTGCTTTTCTCCTTTTATAGCTAATTATAAGACAATCAAAACTGTTTTAGCTGTTCAAAGTAACCCTGATAAATCACATCTCCATATTCAGGAAAATATTATTTTCACTGTAATACACCAATCTGAGTCCTGGACTCAACTTGTGTGAACTCTGTATTCAACATGCTTATTCTAATCTACAGATTTATGGTGTAGCTTTTGTTTTTAGATAGGGCGCTGTGCATTCCAGGTTGGCCTTTCGGATCTTCCATAGCATTGGGATAATAAAGGTATGCTACCCCATCCAGTTTATGCAGTTCTGAGGATCCAGCCAAGGGCTTCATGCCTACCAACTGAGGTACATCACCAGGGTCTCACTTTTGTAGCCTAGTGGCCTCAATGTCTTAAACTTCAAGACAGTCTGTCCGTGCTGTTGTTTGAGTTGCCTAATTTTATGCTGGCAAGTTTCATATTGTAAAATGTTTTTCTTAAGGAATCTTTAAGGCTAAAGTCTGCTTATGACTCATTAACTGACAAATTCTGCTTCCACAAACAGCATCTTATTTAAAATTTTTTGTATAAATGAATAGCATCTATACCCATTCAATTTGTTTACGACTGGCCTACGATGCTGTTAGATGCTACAACTTAACATTTCCAGTTAAAGCTTCGAAGATCCAGAAGAGCCCCACCCACGACCAGCTCCAGACCAGAACATTTCTTTGGCACCAACGGTCACAAACGCTTAGAAGCCTTCACACCGAAACAACGACAAAGCAGTGACACCAACCGAACAAATAAGTCAATCGGTCACGTCTCTCCACGGACATCCAAAAATCATTGACCGAAAGCTTTTGGTAAATGAAGCAAAGGGGTGAAAAAAAAAATCACCACCAGGAAGGAAGGCCCAAAGACCGAGGCACCTACCATCACCCCATCTCCTAACGGCTAGAAACTACCTTTATAGCACTTCGGGGGAGACACCCCAAGCCCAATCCCGACAAAGGACCAGCAGCCACCCACTTCTGCGGGCGAAAATACCAGATTCGCAAAGGCTAAAGTCTCCGGCGGGGCGGCGGGACAGCGGAG